ATATTCAAATATGTAATTTTAAGAGCCGTTGTAATTGAGGTGTTAAGCGGTCGCTGTAAATTTCATAGTACGCTAGCAATCCTGATTCGATGCCCACCTGCATCAATGAAATTGCTAATTTCAATTTTAACTGCTGTTTTACGACGTGCTTGGCGGTGAAGGAAAATATCGTTAAAAACTGCATGCTGCCAAAAAAACCTCGCAGACATGTGAAGCCAACGGGCAGTGCGGTGGAAAATTCCTTGCCCAGAACCATCTCAGAAATGAGAGGAGGCCTGTGCATAAGAGTGGGACCAATATGGGCTGTAACTTTACTTTTTTATGTTAGTTTGATCGGACCAATATAATGCGGACTTGCAGAAAATATGTAAGTAGATAGTATTGTGTTATAAATAAGCCATCTGCGTACCTAGTTTCTCGACATATCTATGCTAAGAGTGCGTGTACACATCATTGATATTTTTAAACTACTTTCATAACCCGTCCTACAACATGAGCCTCTTCATAATATGAACATTTGAATCTGTATGGAATGTGTGATCACAAGCGGTTATACTGATAACGGAGACAATACTAAAGGCTGGACGGCACATCACATGTGCACGTCTGTATGGACTGTGTGTTACATATCATTTGTAATACTTGTATATATGTATAAATAAAACTATGCAAGACGTATAGCAGCATTTGTTATTCACACAGTCCATATAGATTCATAAGTTATACAATAATTTGTGCGACAAAGCACACGTGCTGCATATGGGTCTTGTACGCATTTGGTGTTCGCCGGCCATTTGTTATTATGCATAAATACCAATTTTATTAGTAGACGACGCTTTTCATTAAAAATGCAGCATATGGTAAGCATTCAAGTTTTTTTTGTCTACAGGCTCTTAGCACATTCCATTTAAAAATTATGTCGCAAATCTTATAACATTTAATTCATATAATATTTGATAATACATAATATGTAAATATTATAAACGAATACATATTAAGTACAATTAAACCATTGAGATAAATGTACTACGTACTAGAGAAGCCATTCCAAACAAAAATTGTGTCCTACTCTATGTCTCCGCGCATGCGCGGGAGTAGTAGTCGCGCATGCGCGAAGACTTTAATTTAATATAAAATAAATATAAGAATTTAATATAAAATATCTTAATCTAAACATTTTTGTTATTGTATTTCTAAATAAAATGTAATAATAATTATTTTATGGAATTCACAAATCTTCAATTTACGCAATATTTAGTTTGTATGGATTGCACTACAGTTCAGTTGAACATAGTCAATGTTCGGAATGGCCGCAATGGGTTCTCTAGTACGTAGTATATATATCTCAATGAATTAAACTAAATAATTTGCCAAAGCCAAACGAAAATATTTTTTTTGTTCTAATGAAAAGTGTAAAAGGTTTATGTTACATAGGCACAACATTTTTTGCAATAGCAACATAGACCAAAGATTAAAAAATTATCTTTACAGATTTTATGAAAATTATAGGAGTTTACAAAGGCCACAGATACAGTGGAATTTCAGTTAAAAAGAAATAGTGAACACTCACACAACACGACTTTTACAATTTAAACACATTTCCCATCACAGTTTTGCTATAGACTAACATAACTAGTTATAGCTAATATAATAATTACTATTAATAATAAGTAGGTAATAAGGTATAATAGTTAGATATTGCTTTTGATTTTTAGGTGCTGTAATAATAACATTCCTAATTCATTTGATAATAATTAATTTTTTATTGACTGAAGATACGCGGTAAATTAAAAAGAGGTTACGACTTATTTCGCTCATATTCATAGTAATCAAAATGAACTCGCATAATATTGTTATCATAATATAATAATGATAAATAAATTGCAAAATGTAATTTAAGAAGGAAGTACCACCATATAAGATATAAGATAAAATAACCCTGAGGTTGAAAAATTAACAAAAACTCTCACTCACGCATACCGTTCAAGAAAAGAACGAAGCTATTTAAGAGTTAAGTTTAGAAAATCAGTCTCAATGAACAGGCCGTTATTATCATTAGTTACACTATTTTACATTTGACGATTCCAAGCGAGCAACACTAAAGAATCTAGTACTTAGGCATGATACTCAATTTCTATATTTTAGTAAGGATGGTATTGAAAATTGAAAGCATGGGATAGGTACGCTCACTGTAATAATCTAAACATTTTATATTTTGCATTCCTTATTCGTATATTGCTATACTTAAGAGACACCGCTTGAGTTATTATTTTACTCTAGTCCTATGTGCCGCTTTGCTAGGGAATGGTGGAGATTTGGGCATTGTAACAAATGACTGTTTTATATTTTATTACCGTTTCTCAAAGGCAACCACGGATTATTTTTTAGGATAACATGCATATTATGAGTAGATTTGAAGAAAACATTTGCGGCCTTATAAAAAAATCAACGTCAACTTAAAATCTTTCAATCTCTCTCTTTTCACTATATAACTATAGAAAGAAACAGGTATAGATTATAATTAATACCTACTTAAGCAATATAATCAACGATTATAATTAAGTAAGGCCGAAAATACACACCGAATGAAACACAGAAACCACTACGTTTGGTTCTTAATGAGATGTCAGTCTTAGTACAGTCGAATCACATGTATTTATTGCTGGACTGTAACTTAGGTTAGTGTATAGTCACTAAACTTAGTATTTTATATTTATAATTAAAAAGATTTTTAAACAAATAATTTTTCGCACCAAAACTTAAATTTTTTTTTAATCTGAAAATTACCAATGTTCTTATTACGTAAGAAGAAATCGAATATAATATATTTTGGGACATGTTAATGTATAAGGAAATAAAAAAAAATAATAAGGTGAGCGACTTATGTGAAATAAAAATACCTGGACAAAAATAACAGGTACATCTAGCAAGGAGGCATTTTGCATGGTGACCTGCAGAGAAATCTCTCTCCCGTAAAATAAATCTGCGGCAATTTAAGCATTAGCTTATTAGTTTTAACATACAAAAACGAGCGTCGATAAAGTCCAAAAGAACATTTTATGAAAGACTTCGACAACTAATTATATTTAAATATAGTATGTAGTGTGAAGACAAAAAAAATCAGAATTTCTATATTAAATACTATTTTAAGAAAACACGTAAGAAACATAAACATTTTCTGTATTTTATTCTTGAGTAAAATGTTTTCACGCATAAGCGTTACATTTTTAAAGATCTTAATCGCACAAGATAAATATTTCATAGCATCTAAAAAACGTTGTAACTAATCTATTCTATCGGTGCGCGGATTAAGTGTACTTAAAATTATTTCACTACAGAAATTAATCTCTTAAAATGTAAAATGTGCACACATCCATACATATGATTGTATAATGTACTTACATAGTAATTGTGCATATGGTATACCGATTTTTTTGGGCCTTTCGTTTTATTTTTAAACTTACGAACTATCAATTTACAATTTTCACTTATAATAATTAAGACATGGAAAATTTCTCTCGATTCCCGGTATTTACATTATCAAACAATTATTTCATGTATTTACAAAATAGCAAAAAGTGCACATAAGACAAAACTCACAAAATATGTATTTGAGCAATACGTTTAAATATATTTATAAAACAGTTTTACATATTTAGTTTTTAAGTTAGTAAATTATATAATAAATGCAAAAGAAAGAAGGTGGTGAAAATTCGTATAACTAAATAAAATTTAGAAGTAATTCAGTGTGAGGAAATCGTTAACGATGCAGGAACATGCTGACTCCTTACTCATACTCATAGTCATTGTGTTATATTATGTACTACGTACTAGAGAAGTTATTCCAAACTTTTTTTATATATAAAAATTACGTGTCACATTGTTTGTCCGCGATGAACTCCTAAACTACTGAACTGATTTCAATGAAATTTTGCACACTGTGTGCAGTTTGGTCCAACTTGAGAGATAGGATAGTTTTTATCCCGATAAGTGACCTTTAATATTTTTTATATGGAGGGTAGTCGAAAAGGGCAGAACAACGTCTGCCTGGCCAGCTACTTTAATATAAAATAAGATATTAATATAAATAATAATAATTATCTTATGGAATTCACAAATCTTCAATTTACGCAATATTTAGTTTAGTGTACGGATTGAAGTACAGTTCAGTAGAACATAGTCAATGTTCGGAATGCGAAATCTAGTGCGTAGTACATATATATCAATGCTCGTAGTATTTTCAATCTAGTAACACCAGTTTACGGAAAGTGGCCAGATTGTTTTTTTTTTCACAATAATACTTTTGTGATAATTTTTGTTAAATATTTATATTTAACAAAATTGTGGAAACATAATCCTCAATTCCTTTTCATTATCCTTTATGCAACGGAAACTTTATATGTTTGTTGACATAATATATTTTATTAAACAATGACAAAAATGTTGATTGAAAAAAAAACAATGTTTGATTCATGATGATGACAGAAATCTTAATTCCTAAACAGTCCTAAAGTCTAAGCTGTAAAATATTAATTTCTAGAAAAAATGTTATTGCTATATGACAAGTATTTACATAATTAAGCCACTAAAAGTGCATTTTCAACATCAAAAGTAGAACCAAGGGAAATGAAAAGTTTATTCGCAAGGGACATAGTTCTACGAATCATTAATAACTTCGCTAGTCAGTTGCGTAACTTAACAAAGTATATCACATTAGATTAGAATCTTGTATAAGTACTGAATTTCAAACGACAGCTCTCTTGATCATGAATTATTTTTAATCATCTGCAACAATTCCGGTCATTGCGGTTCGTTGGTTAATAATTTTTAAATTGTAACCTGTGTAACTATATATTATTTTTTATTTACAAAATATAAATTTATTTTAGAAAAAAAAAACAAGTCTATTGTTAAAGAGAATAAGAGAAATACAAAAGTGTCTGGTAGAAATTCATCACTGTCTCGTCTTAATATAATTAAGGATAAAATTAGGTTATAACCTAATCAGAAAAGTCGTTCCCTGCAGCGTTATTTAACGTCCTAGTGTCTTCACTTAATAAAGATTTATCATAACGTCTTTGCCTTACAATTTTAGGCCTCGCTGCGCCCAACAGAGGTGCAGTAATCGCATGACCAGTCATGTGACTTAATTCCTTACGCCCTTGCAACAAGGGTGATGTTACACTGGATGATTCATCACCTTCATCATCTGAAAGGGCGGGATAACTCTCCTTCATTTTTAGGCTGCGTTCCAGGCGTCGGAGAAATCTACAAGTGGAATAGAATAATTTTAATCACACAAAGAAAGTCATTTTTATTTTTATCTCTGGTTAAAATATAAAAGGAACGAAGGAATAATCTTTGTCCTGGAAAGAATTAGCCAGAAATCAAACGGGAATTTTTTTCAAATTAACTAATGAAATTACGTACTTAATTAGAAAATCGTTTTTAAAAACTACAAATGGAAAAAATCTAAGGCATTTCGATGTTTTTTTTTTCTTCTGATTCTGATGATGTTATTTTCATTACGCAGGACATACTAGTAGTGTCGGAAGTTTATAATATGAAGCATAAGGTTTTCGCTCAACCCTTATGTATGCGATATATATCTATGTATTTATATGGATAGTCTATTTGAGACTGGCCGCCATGACCAAAAGAACAATGGCAGACTTTCATACATAAAATTAGTTGAGAAGGAATGGTAGCATCTGTATATCAAAAATATCTTAAAATGTTAAGCGTCAGTCCCTTAATAACTCTGTCAAAGAATTTTGTCTTGACAAAGCGTCAAAAAAAGATATTTAGATTTGAACCTTTTTAGGTTATGTCTTATGTCACTTGGAAAAAGTCATGCATCCTGTGATTGGTTGATGTTAGCTTAATACATTTTCAACATAATGAACCTACCTACATAATTGAGAGTTTTTAGATTATTGTATCTCTATTATATATTTGCATACTATAAATGTATATTTCTGGCATGGCTCCAGGACTTTTGTCATACAGTGACATTCTTAGAAGGGCTAGAACCCAGAGCCGTAAAGCCAGTAAAAAACAGTCACATTTTGTTTTGGCTAGTGTTGCTATAACATTAAATGGAATTGTTACATAGTACGTACAAAACATGTAGATTGAGATAATGTATTATTGTAGGAAGTTCTTTTTTAAGAGCCTTATTTTCAACGATATCAATTTTATTTTTATTATTACTAATAGTATAATTATTATACTAATAATAACTTAATATATAAAATATTTTGTGCTTGTGTGTTGTGTTGGTAGTCTTACAAAGTGTATACGAAAATAGTATGAATATAGTAAAATGACAACACTTGAATAGAGTAAAATGATTTAAGTTAGGTCTAGATACCAGGCCATAAACTCCAAAAAAAAAAATGATTTAAGTCATTTGATATTCCCAAAAATGTTTGTTTTTTTCTATGGCTTTAATTAAAACACATTTTTATTTAAAAAATCATAGAAAAATAATAAAATTCATTTTATATATAACTTATTTCTAGACGCAATAAATTTGTCAAGTATTTTTCTGCCATTGTTCTTTGGCCTTGAAATTATTGTTTGTTCAATAAGTCGGTACACCAGGAGGCACACTTATTATTTTGCTTTTATTTTTTACTGTGAAATTAATGTTTTTCTATTCTAAGAATAAAACAGAATACTTTATGATTATGACTTATGATTATTGTAATAGATACGAATATAAATAATAAACACAACTTAGGTAGCAAAGAACCTTTCACTACGGCGGCTTTGTTTTAAAATGCCACATTTTTCTGCGGGTGTACTCCGCACGCGGCGAATTTGATGTCGCGAATGAAGTTGAAGTTGAATTTTTGGCGCCTTTGACAAGATGCGGCACGTTCCAAGACAACGTGACACAAACCATATCTAAGTGAACAGACTATCCGTATCTGCAATGTGATGCTTGTGATCACGTGTGCGAACACAATTTAGGCAAGCTCCAAAGGTGCAATGAAATATAGATATTTAAAAAGTAACTTTTACAAACCTTATTTGGTTACTTATCGTTCGCAGCTTATTAACTTTGATAGGCTTTCGCGAGTCTTCAGTTAGATCCAAACTTGACGAAATTTTTGAAGCCGTGTCCTGAAAACAAACTTTTAAAATTATTTCCAAAAATTTAATGTAATATTTTTCAAGACGCCGATGATTCGTTAAACATTCTTCAACAAAATTGAATTTAGGTGAAACTACACATACATTTAATTAAGTAACTATGTAGTATCAATTTATCTGCAGAAGTAGTAACAAGGAAGTAGGTATAATAGGTACACGTAAATATTATGGATTAAAATAATATAGTTTTTTACTTTATTAGGACATCCTACGTATTTAAGTATTACTGGAATTACTTTTATTAAGGTTTCTTTACCGTCTGGAAAAACATGGGCTTGGGTAAATATATTTTTAATACAGTTGCTCAAAAAGTGGCGTATTGCAGGGACGTATAGCGTTCGGGATGTGAGCTATTACATACTCGTGCTTTTTCTTTACCTTTTCCGAACTCGAGCGTTTTCTTTCCCAACTGTCAAAATAATGTCTATTAAAAAAACCAACCACGAAGTTTTTACTAAAAAAAAATCATAGAAGTTTTTATGATTCATGCAAATATTTCTAAAAAGAAGCTACTAATTTGTTTCAATATCAGATTTAATGATTTGATTCAATAAGTTAGATTAGATTTCATTTCATTTCATCTCATTAAATTTAATTTTCATTTCTTATCAATAAAAAAATTCTACTGAAGACTTGGCTGTATGGGTATAGTTCCCTTTGCCTACCCAGAATAGATGAAGAAAACAAAAAATCTCTGCTTATATTCTTTTACGGTTGGCGCCATTTTCCAAAAATGTTCTTTATTAAATTGCTTCATTTTTTCGCAACTGTACTAAAAATTGTTGATAGTTGTTCAGTACACGTGCGGAACCGTCATTGCAACTTGTTCCGACTGTCAACCCTCACCTTCGGCTGCGCCTCGGCTCGGGTAGACATTTGTCGCAACTCTTTGCAATGACAGACTTTTCGCACTCGTTATGAAAATATACTATTTTAATTTTTTTCATTGGTAGTATGCAATATGATCTATTCGTAACATACCCATATTTGAAGAAAACTAATACACACATAGAGTTATATGTACTACGTACTAGAGAAGCCTTTCTAAACAAAAAATATGCACTAGTTTATTTCTTCGCGCATGCGCGATTTAAGCGCGTTGCGCCTGCGCGGTATGTTTATATAAAGAAATATATTTTTCCTGATTTTTTTCTTTTGTAATATTACGATATTATTACCTATTTATTCACTTGAACAACAAATAATTTTACTTATTTGACTACTGAATTGTTATTTACGTCCAGGTTTAAACTTTAATTTGAAATCTTGTATTATTAGCGCCGCTCCACACTGCATGAATATTGAAACCACAGACTAACTAGTAGATTGATACCACACTAAATGACACACTGTACGGATTGCAGTACAGTTCAGTTGAACATAGTGTATGTTTGGAATGCGCAATCTAGTACGTAGTACACATATATATCGATGAATACACACGACTTTTTGACTGTCCCGTTGGTTTAGTGGTTGTTAGCGCTAGCTTTCGAATCCCGGGTCGGGCCAAAAATCAGTTGGGTTTTACTGTCAAGAAATTTTCAGTAGCAGCCCGTTGTCAGGAATTTGGCGGTGTTTTATCCTCGTACCTCGAGAAACACACAAAGCCGTTGGCCTTGCGTCTTATCACTCTCCGGTTGTGTCAGATTGCCGTACCATTAGATAATGAGAGTAATGCAGTGTCCACCTGTGCTCGTGCATTCTTGTAATCTTGTTCTATGCAGATGGCTACTCTCCGATGAGACTGGCAGCCATAACCAAAATTCTGTCGCGAGGGCATTATCACACGCAATTGTTTTCCAGACGGTAATAAATATGACTTATATAAACTATATAATGCTTTATAGATAAAGGTCGTAAGTATAATGTGACTTCTTCAACTGTTACCCAGCTATTCTATATTTAAAAAAAACTACAGTAACATTCTAATAGTAATCCAAGAAGGACGATTTGTCCCATTCAGAAAAATTTCTTACTTGAATCGTGGTAGCACTAGTTATATTTTAATGTCATGCACTGTCTAAGCATGCATCACAGAGTACTTTTTACCCGACCGCCCCAGAAGGAAGGTAATGTTTTTGTGTGTATGTATGTATCTCTATTTGGCACGCTCTGTAGCCTGAACGGCTTGATGGATTTTAACTGCGTGAAGGAACTTCGAAATTACGATATTCGCAGTAGAACCGGCATGTATGTGTATAACGATAGCATGCAGCAACTCTAAGATCTGATGCGGTAGAAAGGTTCTCGTGTAGCGGCCTCATACGGTAAGCAGTGTATGGCGTTCTCCTACTAGATTGAGTAACGACTTGGTAAGACTTGCAGGAAGTCGATGGATGCAGGTACTTTGTGGCATTACACGGAGGCGGACCTATGTACAACATAGGTTTATCAGTGAATTTGTAAATGCTGTTATGATGAAATGTATGTAGTGATAAAAGGTTTGCTGTTTTCTGTTTATTAGGAGAGGGCTATACTAAGTAAAGTTAGAAACCTATTCCAACTGTTTCTGTTCCTTTAAAATAACAGTTTTATTATCCTGTATCAAAATAACATGCTGTTATTTCGCAATAAGTTTCGATAGGAAATATTTTTAAACTTTACCAGTTCCCCGTTACATGCCTCTCGTTCCTGGTACTGTAACTGTGAAATTACTATGCTGTACAATAAGTAATATAGTATATAATATCAGTTATTATTTGTATAGATTTGTTTAGGTTTTTTAATTTAATAGTAAGGTATTATTGTGTACCCGAATGTGATAACGGTTGTAGTTAAACAAAGATAAAAAAAGGGGATTCAGGTTATATCTCTTTTTATCTGAGATTATCTGAGATCTTTAACAAGAAAATAGTAGAGATTGTTACAAGCTGTTTTAATTTCAGACATATTTTCTTTATAACCGACTTTAAAAAGAATGACGTACTCATAACTTTTTCTAGGTGAACCGATTTTGATGATTCTTTTTTATTTGAAAGCTGGTGCTTCTCACGTGGTCCCAATACAAATTTGATCAAGGTCTTATAGCTCTAAGGACCGTTTTTTTTTTTTTTTTTATATGATAAGGGTGACAAACGAGCACACAGTCCACCTGATGGTAAGTGGTTGCTGCGGCCCATAGACATCTACATCTATCCTCTATTACAAATCAAAATGTAGATGCGTTGTCACCCGTGAGGACTAAGATGGAATGCCTCATTTCCAGTAAAAAGGGCCTCCGGCCACCTGCACTCACCAAGCGAAACGCAGAAGTAAACCTCTACTTCACGCTGGTTTTCTGTGAGGTCGTGGTACCACCCCGGTTCGAGCCGGCCCATCCGTGCGACAGCAAAAGCTGCCGCGTGGCTCTACCACTGTTAGACGAGAAGGTTTTTGAGTTATCCTTAATGATTTATATTGAAGTTGGTTGCACAAATTTTTTAATTTCACCACTCGTTATCTGAGATTATGTGATATTCTTAGCAGGAACATAGTAGAGCTTGTTGCAAGCTGTTTTAGTTTCAGACATATTTTCGAACATAGGTAACTCGTGGAACAGGAACATTTGTTTAGGCTTAGACACAACAGTTCCAATCTGTTATTTTTGTAAAACCTGTTGTTTTTTCCTGTTACGGTAATACGCCTCATTCGTACTATCAATCTTTTTTGTTGATCTGAGATATATCTCTATAAAATTGTTATAGTATGGTAGATTGATGCATGTAAATGAATAGTATACTGTCACAGTTTGTAGGTTTTGCGTGAAAATCAGTCACTGTACTGCAGTCAAACTCTAAAGCCAATAATCATTAAGGTACTCGCGAACAATATCGTTTCTCATATCTATATTACCTACATACAACATTTAACGTAATTAACGCACACCCTCACCAATTAGTATATTATGTTATAATCATAATACATACACTGACTTTTTAATTAAACACGTTTACGCATTGATTATTTATTGAATTAATTATACTAATTCCGGAAGAATGTTGTGGTCACAGTACAAATCCATGAACGCACGACGCGCAATTGTTTACGTTAAAAATACCTACCTATGAACACTAAGCCAATATATTTACTGTGACTAAGCGAGCATGAGCAATGAACTCCGAGCATCCAGTTGTTTATTTAAGTTTAGTAAACATTTGATTGTTATCTTTCCATCACACTTTTCAGGCTTTGGACAGTCGACCCTGAATAGTTTTGATTATTGATTATGATACAATATTAATTGGCATATTCGTTACAAAATGTTATACATTAGTATAAAACTTTAATTTTAATTGTAAATAATAATGAACTACTAAAAATAAGAGGCGATACGACAACATAATTTTAACAGTGGTAGAGCCACGCGGCAGCTTTTGCTGTCGCACGGATGGGCCGGCTCGAACCGGGGTGGTTCGAGCCGGTGGTTCACATTTCAAAGACGGCATTTAAAAAATGTGAATCAAGATATTTACAATAATTTAAAAAATCAAAGACTTACTACTAGACTACTCATGCAACGTTGTATTTTAATACACTTTCAAAATGACCACCACCTTGTTCAATACATTTTAATGGCAGTTTTCTTAATTTATATTTTAATTTAGAAAGCACTTCAGTGTCATTTTTCACTATTCCAAAAGCGTTCACTATCCTATTTTTATATCCTCGGCACTTTTCTTATTAAAATAAAGTTTACGGTTCATTTCAGTTTGTTTTAACTGTACAGGTTTAGTGTGACTATAATTTACGTAGTTTTAATAATTTTTGGGATAAAAAATTACCTATATTAAAAATGATAGAAATCGATTCATTAAACGATTCTGAACAAACTGCTTTCAGGATGTGCGTCAATTATGTTACGTGTTGTATAACTAATCTATGGAACTAAATTAAACGTGAATATGTCAACAGATGATAATTTGTCGCGATTTATACAATCACCTCTGAACTACGGCACTTTTGTCTCCGTAGGGGTTTCCTTGGACGGGGCTCACATGACTGCAAACAAACCAAACAGTGGCAGGAAAAAATTGAAGAAGCCAAAATATTTGCACATAAAATACAAGTGCGACACTGCTTAAACCGCCCACAACTCTCTTTTTTAATAAAAATAAAACAACCGCAACCGCTCTCATTTAATAAAAAAAGATGCAAAAATGTACATAACGTTTTTAATTAAAACAATTTAATTAAAAATTTAAAAAAAAATTATTCATTACTAATTATTAGATGTAATTTAAAAATTTACTTTGTATAAAAATAGTATTAAGAGAACTGTCGTCGGCTTTTTTAAATTTAATACGTTAATACGTTTCAGATATTTGTGCAATGTGTCATGTGAAAGCACTTAAAATATTATTTATGTATAAAATAATTTATTAAAATATTTTATCAAAAATAATTTTTAAAATGTGCGTTTACAACTTTTTTTGTGAAAAAAGTTTGAATAGGGATAGCAAAAACAAAAAGTGACATTTAAATATGTTAAGCTTAATTCGCTGTGATCCGCTAGAAAAATATAAATGATGTGTTTTACCTAGCTTGAAGAGCACTTTCCACGCGCCCTCCCTCAATTCATCATTCTTATTTTTTCACGCGGTTCTTAACTTATTAAATTTAAAACCTTAATATAATGGATTTTCACAAAGCAATGCCTGATTTTATTTATCTAATAACGTAATACTGTTATTAAAAGAAATACTTATGATTTTTATACAATTTGCATTTAGTCCAACTATAATCATATGTTTTTAGTTTTTTTTATTAAGTGGTATCTTTTTAATTAAGACTGAATGTAAATAAATCAAATAGACAATATTTATGATTATATCTGACAAAGAAATAATTAGGCTTTGCCATGATTTAAAGTTCTAAGTTAACGGTCGTTTATGACAAAACAAAATTCAAATTTTGTTTTGTCATAAACATAATTTGAATTTTATACAATTTTATAAACAAAAAAAGGCAAATTTTCCGCTTACATGCATTTCTAAATCCGGAGGCAGTCTTAGTTCCCGTGCCGATGCAACAGACCCTACCGACGCATTAGAGACGGAGTCCTCCGATGATGAAGAAGATGCAAGTGCTGGAGCTTGTGAACGTGAGCGACGTCTGCCACCTTTACGACCACGGTTACCACATGGTACCTGCAGCCCAAACGGCAGTGATACAATACATGGTAACAGCAGTCAAAATGGCAGTGATAAAATGTAAAGAAAATTCACAATGTTAAAGATAATATCAAACTTCCTTCTATCTTTATTTAGTACTAGCAGATCCCCGCGACTTCGTCCGCGTTGCTTGATATATTATCAAGAAAACACACATCACTACTGAACACGTAAAAATCGTCGTTTCTTATCGCAATAATTTTTTTTTAGACAAGGGCCAAGTGTCTAAGAAATAAAACTTAGAAAACCTAATTGAAATCCAGTAGTTTTTCCGTGATGCGCGCACAACTGCAAACCTCTATCATTTTATTTAGGTATATATATATATATACAGATGGGTAGTTATTGGGATGCAATGTACAGTAATTAGTTTTTAGTTTAAGTTTTTCTATATTATAGTTTGTTAATATTGTGTATGTTTCTTGATTAAACACAATGAGAATAATATAAAAAAATATTAATTTATATTATAATTTTGAGAGAATAGTGCGGAAAAATGGGGCCTCCGTGATTTCTCTCCGGATGTGTCGAATTGCCGTACTATCGGGCTATGAGAGAAGGGAATAGATAGTGCACCAGTGCTTGCGCATACACTCGTGCACTATAATTTTTTTTTATAGAATAAAGGTGACAAACGGGCACACAGTCCACCTGATGGTAAGTGGTTGCTGTGGCCCATAGATATCTACACCTATCTTCGTTTGCGAATTAAAATGCAGATGCGTTGTCAGCCGTGAGGACTAAGATAGAATGCCTCTTTTCCAGTAAAAAGGGTCTCCGGTTCTCTACACTCACCATACGAAACACAGCAGCACTAAGCTGCTATTTTACGCTGGTATTCTGTGAGAGCATGGTGCTTCCCCGGTCGAGCCGACCCATTCGTGCTACAACTATACTATATTATCAAATATAAAATATAGTTGCAGCATGGCTTTACCACGTACAAGATAATACCCTGTCCTGCGCACAGATGGCTAGTCTCCGTCTGGTTCGTGACCAAAATTCGGTCTAGAACATATTATTATTATTAATTCATATTAATATTAGGTTATCTTTTTGTATCTTTGTCTTTGATAACATATTACATTATAAGTCTAAGTTATTTACAAATTATGGATGAATAAATCTGAAACACGCACTGGTTGTACAGTCTCGTTTTTACAACCAGTGCGTGTTGCCAGTGATGACCTATGGAACTGAGACGTGGTTTATCACTGATGGCCGTATGAGGAAGCTTAAGGTCGCTCAGCGAGCTATGGAGAGGGCTATGCTCGGGGCACAGAATAAATAATAGTACTAACGGGTTTCTCTGCGTGATAAACTTTGAAATGAGGATATCCGTAGTAGAACCAGAGTGACCGACATAACCCAACGGATTAGTAAGCTGAAGTGGCAATGGGCCGGCTATAAAGTTCTGGAGTGGCGGCCTCGTACCGGCGGACGAAGTATAGGGCATCCCCCACTAGATGGAGTGACGACCTGGTAAGACATGCAGGAAGTCGATGGATGCAGTTGGCTCAGGACCGTACTTTGTGGTATTCCTTGGGGGAGGCCTATGTTCAGCAGTGGACTTCTGAACGCCTGTAATGATGATGATGATGATCAATCTGAGACGCTTTATAATTAATTGAATTGTTATTGGAAGAAAGTTCCTTATCGCACGGTACGTATTTGACGGATGGGGGCTAGGCTAGAAAAAGTGTAAGATGTTTCCGTCACGACCCCCTTTGTATAGTGCGAGCGAGATGGAATAATATCCATCTCCCACGCACTTTTTCTTATCTTGCCATGAAGGAAATATTATTTTAAATGACGCTTCATTTCAATATACACTAGTAATTCATTTATTTGTACTTGTTAATCAATAACATATTACGTTTATCAATAATTATACACTACGAAAGGAACTTCGTTCCAACCGAGTGTTCCACGACAGTCACGCATGTTTTTTTTCTATAAATTTTTTGTTATTCTTTCCTCAGATACTGTTACTGATGTGAACAAAAAACTGCTACGGGCACGCAGGAATTTCTAGAAGTATAATTTAGTTTTGAAGTTTTACTTGTTTAGAAAATTAAATATAATGTTGATGCACTGTCATCTACAATATACATTACTTTATTTCTATATTTTTTAATTTTTAAATGTATAAACGACGCCAGTGTCTGTACTAATAGCCTAATGACTAATAGCAAATAATATATTTAGGATTTTATACATACCTCTAGCAAATTGTGCATTGAATGTGGCATATGTGGAAGCGTTGATTTAGATGTTCCCGTAACCTCTTGTGAAACCGTCCTGGATGTGCGCCTGTCTCTTCTCCTTCCAGCTTTTCTATGTGAACTGTTTCCTACTTTATAACTACCTCCTTTTACACATTCTGAACTAGGGAAGTCATATAACCCATCAGAGTCAGTAAATGGTAGCTGACGACCGTAAAACTGTGGAGAAAAATAGCCCAAACCAGTTCTATCACTTACAGGACTTTCGCTTCGCGGACTAACAGGGCTTAGAGGGCGACTACCATCGGATAGCAACATAGGGGATTTTAAACTTCCATCTAATCCTCTTTCTACACTTATGCATTTTACTATAGAACACTTTGTTACTCCACTCGGAGAACAAATTTGTGGTATTTCTAAAGTTTCTTTTAAAATAGCCAAATTTTCCATTTCCTTAGCGCTCGTGGGTACATCATCTATCCGTTCATCAGTTCCAATTCCTTCATCATTAGACTCCAGTAATGGATCATCGGATAAGGTTTCTGAATCGGACCTTCCGCGACGCCTTTCATTTGTTTCGTTATTTGAACTGGCTGGGCTGGAATTGGTTTTCATTAAGGGTCGCCGTCTAGATTGAAAACATGACGGTCCACCGCCTGACCCCGGATCTTCCATTTCAGACGGACACAAAGGGTTGCTCGAGCCACATCTGGACGGACCCGGACTTGCCATAGAACTGTAACCGGATGAGGATAAATTTGATTCTGATGGCGCTCTCTCTCCTCGAGCAGACATTGAGAAAGGACTTAAATAGCACATATTTGCCGATGCTGGTGGAGGTCTTGGTGATAGTGGTTCATCCGATTCCTCACTGGCGTTGTAAGTTACAGTGATTAAAGGCGGTGGTTGAAATTCTAAATGCGGAGGAGTTCGTCTTGGAGGAGGGGAGCCTGGTGAAGGGCGCTCTATAGTGAGAACGGGTACTCTTAATGTTGGTGGGGCCGGAGAGGGAGAGGACATTTCGCGTTCAGAGTCTTGACTGTGCGTAAAGCTTGGACTAGGCGACTCAGTCACATGAGTGGACGGCGTTGGTGTATCTATGCAGAGAGTCTGTTGCCGCAACTGAAAAGCAAAGAAAAATATTATTATGATAATTAGATATATCTGATTTTGTAAAACAGTATATACTAATTAAAAACTAATAAGAGATCTAGGACTTCGAATGCTAAAGTAAGCACACAAAATATCAACGTCAAATGGCAGCTTAATTTTGCTGTGTTTCATATGGTGAATGACGAAAACCGGATACCCCTTTTACTGGTAACAACCAAGGCATTCTATCAAAGTCCTCAGAGGGGACAACGGAGACAAATAATAAGGGATAAATGTACATACATTTACCATCTGGTGGAGTGTGCCGTTTGTCACATACGAATATACAAAAGATCTTTAATGTTATTGAAATAAGGCTTCGTCACATGCCATTTTTATTTTATTACCTTTAATCGCAAACCAGAAGTAGGTCTTTCAGTTTTCTCCGCTTTGATTTCATCTAACTCATCTTCACTGGGTGACAGACAAGTGGTCGATTCCTTTTTAATATCAGATTCCATCTTAGATCTTGGCATTCGCGGCGAAGGCAACGGTGTTGCCAAAGGTGTAGGAAGGGGAGTTGGTAATGGTGTAGGCAACTCGCGTATTGGTGAGAGGCACTTGTTTATGCTGCTTGGAACCTCAAGTAGGATTGATGGCGGGTGGAGGAGGTTACTTCCCGATGGCGTTGATTTATGAGCACTGAGTGGGTCAAGAACCTGAAATATTTCACCGAAAGTTAAATCTTATTTGCGTAGATTTGTAACTATTCTATCGTCTATTCATTACAGCCTATCAAAAATTAACTATTGAACGTAGGTCTGCTCATGAATCGCCTCTTATTTGCCATAGTTGCCACGCTTGGCTGCCGCAGTTTTTTTGTTAATTGAAGGTGTTATCAGGAAGACGCTGCTGCACATTTACGTACAGTTTCATGTTTCTCCGACGTCTCTTATAACATCGACGGAAGATATGAGGAAGAGGATTCTCTTAAGCTGTTTTTCCCCCATGCGAGAAAATAAATCATGAAATGAGCAGGGCCATGAGGCAGCGAGTCCGATTTTTATAACTGGAAGTAACGACTAGAAATGAGTTGGGGGGGGGGGGGGGGGGGGAATTCGAACTTTAGGCATAGTCAGTTTGAATAGGCTATCATGTAGAGGATGTCATGGGGTCATGGTTGAATAGGGGCAAAAAGTTCTCATTACACCCCTAGGAGGTCAAAATGGCCAAAAACCAAAAAAATGGGGAGTGGCTTGAGCTTTAGACATAGCCAGTTTGAATAGCCTATCATGTAGAGGATATCATAGGGGTTATGGTTGAATAGAGGTAAAAAGTTCTCATTACACTTCTAGGGGGTCAAAATGGCCAAAACCAAAAAATTAAAAATTCTTATTTCGGCTAGAACTCCGCGTCCTTCGGTGGTTCTGACACAGTTTTTACTTCCCGCATCCCACTTGTTGGAAGTAAAGGCTTTAGAAACGATTTGGGGAGTGACTCGAACTTTAGGCCTAGTCAGTTTGAATAGCCTATCATGTAGAGGATGCAATAGGGGTCTCGGTTGAATAGAGGCAAAAAGTTCTCATAGGAGTGTACTTTTGACGTGTAGTCTTTACCTGCATTCCACTTGTTATAAAATCCATAAGTGTTTTACAATAAAGTGTAATTTTATGAGACTTATTTATTTTAATCAACTTACCTTACCCTCTTAATATATTGTGTTCTTTAGAATAATAATAATAATTTATTTGCCAGAATGTTTGTGCAATGTGATTGAAATAAGCTCCAGGAATAAGTAATAGTAATAACATTACGGAATATACGGAACCTTAATCTTAAACATTAACTTCTTTCATACAAAACTTATATGGTTTTTCTAAAATTAGATACGCAAAATAGCATTAATATTGCACTAACACAGTGTGATTTACTATCTAGGGCTTCATTACCACTTACCACCTGGCGGGATTGTAGTCAAGCGCTGGCTCAGAATAAGTAAAAGTAATCTAAATGTATTATTTTTTACCATAGTGTTTACGCTAGAAATAAAATATCCAGGCCAGTGACGGGTAGCAACGTCTGCCATTTGCGACTGCAATCTGCCATCGTCAACCCGCCTGTCAACTCTCTACTGTGGGAGAGACCAATGGATAGAAGTTTACTTTTACGGGCTGATTGAGAAAGAAAATCAATATACCTGTATTTCTATGGTGTTGTGAGGTTTAGCGACTGGCGAGTCAGGGGCCAGAGACGGTATGTGAGAGGAAGCAATAGATAGGTCATCATCCACAGTATCATCTTGCGGTGACGACGCTGTTGGTGTGCTGGATGCTGATATACCTCCAGACGACGCCCTGGATATTACAGCTGCCGATGAAGAAGAAAAGTTGCGGAACATTGCAAGGATTGAGTCCGCACTTGATATTTTTGGGGTCCTGAAACATGGGAAAATATTTTTAAGGACGTTCTTTACAACAATATACATAATTATAAATATTAAGTTATTTAGTAATAGTATTAATTCAGTCAGTATTAATAAGTTCATTTTTTGTTGTTGCATTATTATAATCTTAAATGAAAAATAAATATGAAAGAAACCATGCAAATTGTTTCTGACCTTGAATATTTTTTTAAAGCTGCATGGGCTAAGTTCAAATCCAGACTGGACATTGAATCGCTTCCCTGATTGCTCGATGTACTATGCGGTGATCTAACTTCCACACCGGGAGAGGGCGGTGTACTTGATGATTTAGTTTTCACAGTTCGATCAGCTATTACTGCCATTGGAATGGTAATAGTGTTAACCATATCTACATCAGAGCTGGAACTCATTTCGGCTGAAACTTTATTCAATAATCTTGCAAATGTAACCTTCTTTTCTAGTTTTGGATCTGATATGTGACGCATTGACGGCGAGGTTGATGGAGTCGATCCTTCACTAGCAAACGATGTGTCTTTATTTTCTATTCCGTATTCAACAAACGCTGGGGCGCTTTCCACCGTGCTTAAAGTTTTTTTCTCTGACATTTGTATTAGCTCCCCCATTGTTATCTTCTTTGAATGGTCATTGGCTGACGCTGGACTAATTAGTTGTTGCAGAATTTGCTTTTTCTCTGCTGCATTTTTCTTTGTCGGTGTAGAGTTATTGCGTTTTTTACGCGGCGATGGACTTCCTGTACAATTTAACATATAATGTAATAATGAAAATAAAATTTTGATGCACTACTAAAGCGTTTGATACAACACCGAATTTCACGACAACACTACACAATATATAGAATATTTTTAAATGGAACTTCATTATTAGTTTAAATGTAAAGATACCTTTATCCATGCCTTTAATTTTATTTACAAACAAGTTTGGTGCATCTAATGGAAGCCAATTCTTTAGGATTCGTGCTTTAAAGTAAAAAATAGTTGAATTTAAACTCGTGTGCCAATCAGAACTGTTATTTTTGTTTGTAATGTGTTATTTGTTTGTCTACTTTTACTTTAAAATTAATGTTTGTTAAATTAATTAAGTAGCTATTGATATAATGCTATTATTCTGTAATATTTGCAATTTTACTCTTACTTAAATGCACTTAATTATTTTTTAATATAAGTAAAATGCAAAGGATAATGCTATGCATTTACAATTTTTATAATTCCTATAGTGAATGTTCCTATCGTTGTTAAAGTGAAAGTATTTAGTAAAAGCAGAACAATGCCCAAAAGCATGCTAAAGCACAATCACACTACATAACAATCCAGACGTTATATTGTCAAGAAATAGATAAAAAATAACATGTTACAGAAGAATAGGTAAATGTTAAGCAAAGAAGTAAATTACATCGGAAGCGAACATTGACAATGTAATATCTGGAAGTAGTTGGACGATCTACAAAGGTGCTAACGAAGGAAGGAGCGACTACGAAAGAGATGCTTTGGTGTTTGTGCAAAGTCATAGGTGCACACATCGAAAGGCCTCATTTAGGCAGCAAGACCATAACAATAGATTCATGGTTGGCATTCCACATAGTCATTCAAGTAGCGAAGGATACATCCAGTTACAATGGCTCCAGTCTTCCGCGCGCTCCGCAATATTTGATCCAATGTTGGTGAAGTTGAACAATGAATGATTTTAACAAATTACACAACACACAAAACGGGACTTCTTAATATAAAAAAAAATTAAAATAAAACTTTTAAACTAAAACTGAGAATTAAGTTGGTTAGTAAAATAGTATTTAAGTATGTGATGGTTACCTTGCAACTAATTAATCGAATTTAATGAGATTTAGAGTCGATGTCATACTTCAATTTGATCTAGGGAACAGTAGAATCGGACTTAATACAAACAATTTCCAAATGAAAAGTTAAAAATAAATAAAGTACAATATGTTTATTTCCAATAACCCGTAAAATAGCAAACTGTCGGAGATGTGCGTATTAGGAAAATTACTTTTATAAAATGCATAAAGGAAGTTATATTGTTACTGAATAAATAACAGAACAACTCAAAAGTAAGTATAAATACAACGTAAATTGTAGATGAAAGAAATAAAGTGATAATAAATAAATATAATACAAAAATAAAAACAATAAATACCAGTTTATTTATTACATAACTATATTATAAATTAAGTGGTGCTGCCATACAGCAGTTTTATATTGTTACATAAAATTTGTTAGATAACATTTTGTCACATATATAAACAGGCTTATTTTTCAAATAATAGCCAAATTTTACATTGAAGTTCAAATTAATAAATAATTATATACCGATATGGCATTTTTTGAAAATACGAGTAAATAATGCTTCAACTTTTATTCGAAACTAGCTGTTCCCCGCAACTTCATGGGTTTTAATTATTTTGCGCGATACCCTAATTGTATTCCTAAAATAAAAGTAGTCTTATTCTTTATATCTCAGCTATCTGCCAGTGAAAGTCTTATCCAAATCGGTTCACAGGTTTTTGTGTGACGAGTGTTCAGATAAACGTCATGTCAGAGATTTATTGTAGTATAGATAGATTATCCCAAATTGAATGTGATTTATGGGCAACAATTACTCTTAATGATCATAATAAGAATAATGTCCTCCAGACCGAATTTCCGTCACGGTGGCCAGCCTCAACGGAGACTAGTCATCGGCGCAGGACAGGATTATAGTACCCAAGTGTATGCGCAAGCACAGGTGCACTCTCTATCCCCTCACTCTCATAGTCCGATGGGACGGTAAACCGACACGACCGGAAAGAGATCAGGCGCAGGATAAACCGCTTTAAGTGCTTTATCCGGGCAGCTACTGAGAATTTCTTGATGAAAAAACTAACTGATTTTTTTGCCCCGACTCGGGATTCGAACCCGAGACCTCATTATCAGCAGTCGCACTACTACAACTACTAGAAAAACGAGGTATTTTATTTATTTTAGATATTTTCGTTACGTTATTGCCAACGAAGCGTACGTAATGAAGTCAACGTCAACACTGTCAGCTGTCGGTCGGGCGAGCAGACATACATAGGTACTTACGGCGTAACGGTAGAAGAGCGCGGTACAACAAGGTACTTTACTGAGCTTAAGGGTTTACGAATGTGTGCGTGCGAGGTAAAATCAGTTAAAATAATGCATTTTGAAATGACAGAAAGTTTGAGATTTATTTTAATTATGTTTTCTTCACCATTTGCCAGTATTACTTATTCTGAACCTTCTCTGCATATTTGGTTGGTAATTGGAAAATTAACCTGTATAAATACCAACCAGCCCTGGCTTCGCTTGGGTAGGATCTATTAATGTGGCGTTATTTATATTTAAGATAATTATAAGAGACCATTAATTTGTTTATCAATTTTATATAGATATAGTTTAAATTTATCCTGGCATTGCTCTCTATCTGTTTGTGAAGTTTCATTACAATCGGCTCAGCCATTCCGAAGATTAGTTCCGACAGACAGACAGACAGATAAACAGACAGCTAGGCAGAGAGACAAAATTTAAAAAAAACGGTTGCTTATGTTTTAGTGGCATGAAAATGACGCAGGGGGCGTTTAATAAAAGACAATTATCTCGATATTGGAGTAGACACGCTTCAGTTTTATTTATATGTGTAGAGCATAAAAAGAGTTATGCGATGTAATATAAGAAATTGAAACATGTCAGCAAATTATAACTTTTATTAAATACGAGTATAATATTTATCTGAGCAATCAATACCCAATCCCTTCAGATATTCTGTTACACTGTGCTTTTCTCCCGCTTTAATTGTTCTCCTTCCATTAATATAGTTTTTAAATAAAAAAATAAAAGTCAATTTAATGAGAAAGCAAGGTCTAGTTGGATCAAAGTCAGAGTAATGGCTACAAAACAATATGTTAGAGAATTTTCACGGGCATGGGACCATTGTATAACATTATACAAATTATAGCAAAATGTAAAATATTTTAGAGAATGTTATCGTGTTAAGGTACTCACATTTGTCAGCACCGTACGTGTAGCACGCGCTGTACGCACCGCATTTTAGAATTCGTTGTATAAAATCATATGAAACCTCGCAAATTTCACCACCATACGTGCAGTATTTTATAAAATGCGGTAGGTATCCGAATATTGACGGAGGCATGCTGATGACGTCATATAATGCGGCTCATTCAACGCGTGCTGATATTCAGTTTTGCGTAATGTTACCAACTTAGTGGATTTTCCACTAAAACTGGTGGTTTCGAAGCTCCTTCTAGTGACGAATTATTGCTTTTAGTGGCTAGTATTTTTGTGGTTCAGTAGAATTAAGTTTTAATTAGTGGCAAGATGATCTCTCTTGACTTAATCTCTCCACTATTAAGCCACTTACACGTTCTGAAATATATGTTCACTTCATTTCAGGATTATTTACATTTACTGTATAGGCAAAAATTATTCGTCAGACAAGATATGCAAATAAGTGGCTATCAAAATGAATATTGTGAATTCAGAATCTTCTTTTTCTTCCAATTTTATTCTCTTCTTCTTCTGCCAATAAGCAGACTATTGCAACATTTTTTTCCATAGCTAAATTAATATCACTGTACTGTTTCACACCTGTGGTTAGAAAAAACTGCAAAAGTTGTTGGCAATACCAAAGAATTGCGTACGGCGCGTATGTGTAATGTGCGAGGCGTATTAGTAAATGCAGCGTATACGGCGTGTGCTGCAAATACGGTGCTGATAAATGTATCTTAACCTTTATTATAACGTTATAAAACCGCTGTGTGGGAGCACCATAAAAAATATAACTAAAAGAAAATTAATGGACGATGCAAATGAATGGTCGGTAATCGTGCGGAGTGCGCGGGGCCGGGCGGCCGGCGGATCGGCGCTCCACTCCTTACGTCCGTGCGGCGGCTTTAACAGATCGTCCAAACTAAACGTGCGGGCGGCGCGCGGGCGCGGCGCTAGTCCCGTCACGGACGGCTTGCGAATACCCAGCCGCGTGAGCAGCGTGCGGTGCGGCGGCGGCTCGCTGCGTAGCACCGGCGCTGTGGACAAACGCCGCGTCACTAACGCCGCGTCACAAACGCCGCGTCAGAAACGGCGCGGTGCAACCGCCCGTTAGCGCTCCGCCTGCGGCACCGCGGCGTACCGCTGCCGCCCGCCACTCGCTAGTCCACACAGACACGATTGCCACGCCGCCGGGACATAGCCAATGCGTCTCGGTATTTTGAATGCATTAACATTGTCGCTTTTAGAGGCTCTATCTTTTAGTCCAATAAAAATACTTCTTATCAATTCGAAGACTGTTTTTTATAGGCCTTAGGGCTTATTTTCATTTGAATTCATCAATGATTCAGTCGATACACGGCATGCGGGGATGTCCCGCAAGCGAGATAACGACTTGTCCCCGTAGGTGAGATAATGCCCAATAAAATTTATTACTCGATATCCAGCATGCGGAAACTCATCATCTTCCTGAACGTAATGTGATCCTCTCTTTCTTTATCACAGTCACGCGTGTTTTGATATACCTATACGTACACTCAAAGCAACTGAAAATTGTTATTTCTGGTAGTCTGCAAGTTCCATATGAAAATGTTTTAGAAATCTCCCGCACTGCGAATACGTTTCCTATGAAACAATGAAAACGTTTTCCCAAATGTGAGCCTTATTGCATGCCTTTCAAAAATTTCCCGGCATCACGAATCCGTGCCTGATGTAATCAAGTGAAGACGTTTCCTCAAATGAGGGCCTTATGTCAAGCGTATTGACTCTCGAATGCGTTTCTTTTCGACCAATGAAAATAAGCCCTTATGTTATTTTAGTGATTCGAAATTTTGGTGTCTGAATTTCCTCACAAAGTATATTATTTAAAACTATTGCGACTAAATTTTTTAGTAAAAGAATAGTTTAATAATTCAATATTCTTTTGTGTTGTGAACACTACAGTGAGAGATTACCGTGGAAAAAATTAAATAACGATATATTTGTATTAATTCCAAGCTGGTAAAAAAGTGTATGTGCTAACTGCAAAAATATTATGTATGAAGCTCTTGTAAGTACAAACACAACTTGGTATACCCCGGCTAGTGAAACATCTAACATTTCCACATATTACTCTCATACAATACTAAATTTCAACACATATTACGTCTACTTTAATAACGAAATTGGCGTAATAACAACATTGACGATGGCTAACATTTAAATGCATTTATTATTTTTAATTAAACAGATAAAATTTTTATATTTTCCTGGCAACATTTGCCCTTGTCAAAAAGCTCGAATCAAGGGAGATAATAAAGCGCCAAATACATTAAGTTATTATTTAAATAAATTTAGAATTTGTTTAACCGAAATTGAAAAATAATTTAATTATTGACAAAATAAATAAATATGTTTCGTATATTATTATCCATCCATTCACGAACGTTTTTCCTTCGCTTTGAAATGCGTTATAATACTTACTTTCCTACGTATTTACACGAATTGCTATTTAACAAAATACTTTGGCGTTAGATTATATAAAACGAAAAATGTGCATCTAACGAATGCTGACGAATTACAGAAACTTATTATCATTTAAAATATTTTAAGTTCGTATAACATCATATCAATTGGTCAAAACATCAAAGAAAGAACGATAAGAAAAAAGAGACGGAGCGCTGTATACATTTCAAATGACGCCGAAATCATGCTCAACTTATTGACACGCACGCACGCACAAATCTTTCTTCAACCACTCGTAAATGTTCACTGCTGAGCGCACACATATGCATGTAAAACCATGTTGTTAGATGCAAATGTTTTTAGATGCGTGCATGAATGTGTGTTCTTAAAATAGGTGGAATCAGGTTTTCAACTGACTTTAGCGTCATGTAAATGCATACATATTCATGCGTGAATGCGTGTTCTTGAAGTAGTTTAAGGTTTGAACAAATCTTTCTTTAACCACTCGTAAATATCTGCTGCTGTGCGCACACATATGCATGTAGACCATGTTGTTGGATGCAAATGTTTTTATATGCGTGCGTTTATGTGCGAATGAGTGTTCTTAACACTAGAGTGCACGCATTGGCTACATATATAACCAAACGTATAAAACGCTCGTTTATTTTTTTTTTAAATATTACTTGCCACAGTGCCAAAGTTTCGTGTATTCCTCAAATGATAATACCCGCGATAAGCAGATACTGGAGTATATTGTCGTTATGGCGTTTCCCTGACCAAATAACCTTGAGCATGCAGTGCACTGCCGCCCGCACTCTGCGTACGCCCATTTATCATAGATTTCACACAATTTTTGGAATTAATTTTAATTAAAAAAGAAACGTGAACTTTAAAAATTAAATAAAACGTGAATAATATAGATTTTTAAAATATATCCATTAGTGTAATCCTCAAATGATTAAGGCGTTGCCTTTAGCAACAGATGCATGTAATCAATAATTTTAGTCATTTTTTAAAAGTAGCTTTTAAATGTATTTATAACACATAAAAATAAATTAGAACGTGGAATGTGATGATAGGATATCGAACATTAATAATGTGCTTTTAGATGTAGTTTATTTCTCATAACTAATGAGATAATAGTCTCTGAATAACGAAGAAAGACGCACTATCGCAAGGTTTTGGTCGGCGTATCACCTTAAAGTCGGTGGGCTACGTATGTAGCCCGCACGAGGGTCCGTTGAAGCTTTTTTATTTAGTGCATAAATCATAAAATTAAGGTAAATACGATATAATTTATGTAGTATTACTATAAAATGTCTTCTTGTTTGTATTAATGGATATTTCATGTACATTTATTATATTTTGTACTTTTTAGATGACGAGTTATTCAAATAATTTATATAAACAAATACAAAGATGGCTGCTAGAGGATAACAAAGAGGATGACGGTTTTAGTGAAGGTGAGGAGAAAGGAGGGTTTGCTGAACAAAGTATCGAAGATAGGCAAGGATCTCCTCACCAGTTTGATACAGAACAAGAAGGCAAACAGAATGATGATGAAGATATTCACCTGTGGAGCTTAGCTTCCTTTCAGTCTCGTAATGGTACAAGATGGGGTAAGTTTCCACCGTTCTACTTCATTTCTGCTATTTTTCTATGATGATGTTTAGAACGTTCTCCTTGATTTGATAAACATTTATATGGATACCATACCCGATGATATTGTGATAATACCGCTGGCCGAAAAGGCAGTGTAATATAATACGCCTGTTAGAGGAAGCGTTGGTCGTTGCTTTTTTGCATCAGATCTCACGATATCAGTACGCGCAAACAATGTAGCAAATGCATGCGACGCATTTGCTACAGTGATTTTATATGAAGCGATATGACGAAGTGCTCTTAACCAAATATATAAGTATATAATATATATATATATATATATATATATATATATATATATATATATATATATATATATATATATATATATAATAACATATACAGTGTTATTTTGCAACAACCTGCCAAATTTGCAGAGAAGGTTCAGAATAAGTAATTGCAAATGGTGAAGAAAAATGAATTTAAAAAAATCAAATATCCTTTTATTTTTTAAACGCAAAATGCGTGGTAATGCATTATTTTAACTGATTTGACTGCACGCACACACTTACGTATAGGTAGATCGGTAGACAAAAACGTTGTTGCCCATAAATCACATTTAATTTGGGATAATTTTAAACAAAAGTAAAAGCCTTATTTACTCGTATTTTCAAAAACTGCAATAACGTTATATCATTATTTATACATTTGAACTTAAATTTAAAATTTGGCTATTCTTTGAAAAATAACCCTGTATATATAAAAAATTCAATTTTTAAGATGTTTTTGTCAAAAAAATAATAATTATGAAGCTAAATTTTGTTGATTTTTGTGCCAATGTAATAAAAATAAAGATGTTTAGAAAGATACATGATTTGCAAGTAAGCAACGCTTGTAGCCCGTGCGTGCGTTCCAGGCTAGGAGTATTTATGAATGCGTGTAGGTATTCTAGTGTTAAATTAAATGGAGCAAGATTTTCAATTAGTTTTGGCGTCACGTAAAAATCCACTTCTGAACGTACGTAAAACCATGTTGTTGGTTGCAAACGTTTTTAGATGCGTGCGTGTGTACGCAAATGCGTGTCCTTGATATAAGTTAAGCAAAGTTTTAAATTAGTTTCGGCGTCACTATAAATGTACTCAGCGTAGAGATCAATAGAGAACAATGTTAAATGTTTCTGAATTCGCAAGTAATAATGTTATATTAACACCAATATGGGAGACAGATTAATAATAATATACGCAAAACGTCCAACCATCCTAAGTACAGTAGTGCTTTATTTAGAAAATGCATGGGTACAACTTAAATATTTGAACAAATTGAAATACGGCTTTACGGTGAATCACGTGTATGCAAATTTAATTACTATTTATTGAAAGAAGCTAAATTCTAAAGTGGAAAAGCAATCGTAATTAGTTTGTGTGCCCATGAATCGTTTTTTGTAAATACAGTCATTAAATTTTGTCAAATTTTCACTGAGGCCTAAAGATTTGTCCTCCAACGAATAAAATTACACTGTGAAAGAAACTTACGTCTTGCGCATCTGTCAGCTTCTTCGGCAAGGAGTTTTTCGATTTTCTCCGGGAAGTGTCTTTTGGCGCACCAGACGAGACCTATGATACCGAGCACCACGAAGACGGCTATCAGGCCAAGCCAAAAGGGCTCATGAAGCATTCTTGTCCCAAGGCCGACGATATTAGGTGAAGGATTCGGTATCTCACATCTGTGATAAAATATTTATACACAACAATGGAATAGATTTTTTTAAATTCAATATAGATTATAAGTAATTCTTATTGAAAGTCATATTTTACTTTAACACTGGTTTGCAAAAACTCTTGTACAAGGAAGATCCAGAAAAAAAAACAACCTTTTTTTTAAAAGTAAAATTATACAACAAGAACACAGTTGTACAAACTATTTACAAAACTAATTTAATAAACAGCTTGAAAGCGACCATTTCATTCCTAGGCGATATTAATAACCATTTATATTATAATAACTATTTCAATGCAGTTTTTGTTTAATAAATTATTTAAACATGGTACAGAGACCTTGTAGTATATTTTCTTTTTTTTACGTATTGTATTAGACCATATTTATACCAATATTATGCATATATTATAATAACTACTTGTCGTAACTCAGGGGTTAAGGGCTGGTAAGGGTTAATAACTGCGATTGGCAACCCGTCGGTAAGCGTGGTAATTTCTGGCACGTTACCTATATAAGTCCATTCCTAAACAGAGGTTTCCCCATAGATTGCCTCATAGAAGGCATATTGGCCACATTTGCCACGCCTGGCAAACCGGTTGGCAACCGTAGTTTTCTATTTTTAGTCGTTATTAGAAAGACGCTGCTGTTCATCTCCTGATTTGTTTTTCTCTGTCGTTTCTTACGATAGCCACGGGACGAGGTGGCGTGGTGGATATTGTTCAGCAGAGGTTTATAGGCTGAAATGGATTGGTGGTGAGCCGCACTGCACGTTACCTCTTGCCCTTCCAGGAGGGGTTGCACTGGCAGAGGAAGCCGGAGTCGCGCTCGAGGCAGGCGCCGCGGTGGTTGCAGGGCCGCGCCGCGCACGCGCGCACGCGCTCGGCGCAGCGCCGCCCGCGCCAGCCGCGCGCGCACGCGCACACGAACGCCTCGCCGCCCGCCCCGCCCCCCGCCCCACCCGCCGCCAGCGAGCAGTTCCCGAACACGCACGGCGACCGCTCGCACGCCGTCAGCACGCAGAATATGCCTGCAGTACACACACAAACACTTCATCACTTTCTTAATACTTGACCACCATGTGGTGTGTCGGCCGCCCACAGAAATTCTAGTGCAGCAAGCTATTGTTGATTTTTGAATTTGTTTCGGCAGGGCATGTGGCCAGCCGGCGCACCACAAATTTCGAGCCAAAACTTTTACATTTTTGTCCGTTATTAACTGTCAATAACCAATCAGGCAGGCCATCAGTGTAATTAGGTTAGGTGGCCGCGCGACGCCTACGTATCCTGCCGCTAAAGGGTTTTCGCCCGCTTTTTCTTACGCGCAAAAGCTACGTCTACAGATGTTGGGAATGACATCTAGACAAAGTTCAGCAGCGAGCACAAATAAGCAGACAGAATACAAATTCAGCAACACGTCACTCGATTATCATAGAGGAAGACCAGTTCGTCGAAGATGCATTCATTATTACGACAGGTACCGAACTTAGGGTCTGCCAGCCGTAAGAAGCTAGGAATAGGACGAAGAAAGCCTCTGTCTAAAATGCCTTTCACAACCTAGTATTTGTGCGGAATGCTACGCAGAAAGTCATGTAAAACAAATTTTTTTGTTTGATATATCCACTGTCTGATTATTTTTTAATTTTGTAAGCAATTTTTTTTTGAGTAAAATATTAATAAATGTCTTCTTTGGAAACTAGTTTTTCTTAATTAATTACCAACTGAGCGGTAATAGCAATAGAGTCCGATTTTCCTCGTTTTTTTTTATAGGTATATTGTCGATGCAGTTGTTTTTGACTCCATATCGGGCAAGCCAAAGCCAGAAAATCCATATGCATTCGTCGGGTCTCAGCGGACAACACTGCCTGGTTTACAGCAGGTCCTGCCGGGGTGCCACTTGGCGTGCCGCAAAAGTTTTCTTAAACTAAGCGTGGCGAGTTGCGAAGGAAATGGGATGGGTGGCACGCCGCCCACAAGACTTACTACTTTAGAAAACTGTGTCAAAAATTGCGTGATAAGAGAAGAGTGTGGTTTGCTAGATGATGTTGTGACCAGGATTAAGAAAGGAATGCTTCGGTGGTTGGATCATGTAGAAAGACTGAATGAGGAAAAAGTGACAAAGCAAATTTATGTTGTAGAGGTGAACGGCAGAGTCGGGAAGATTGGCGATATATTGAAATGGGCCAAATTAAGAGTACCCTGAACCGAAAAGCGTGTATGCGTAGGTATATGAATGTGGAGGAGGCGAGAGAGGTATGTCAGGATCGTGCCAAATGGAGGTCCATAGTCTCTGCCTACCCCTCTGGGTAACAGGCGTGAGTGTTTATGTATGTATGTATGTATCTAATTACGCTTCAGCTTTAATGCTGTCATCTAGTACCGTCAAACGTCTGCACAAAGTTATCCACAATTCCCACGGGAGTTACACAATCACATTTTAGATCTCTTTTATCGGAATATTGTTAGTTTGAAATTGGAGATAAAACTTCTTAAACTAATCGCTTACCAGTATAATATCCAGCACATTGGCAGAAGTTTTTTGACTCGTCCGTAGCACAGCGACCGCCATTGATGCATGGATTCGGATAACAAGACTCTAAATTCGTCTCCTCGGGGATAATCAGCAATTTATTGTGATATTCGGGATCTGCAAAACAATAAAGAAAACCTTTAGATAAGCTACGATTACAAATAACGTGAATGATGTCAACAATTAGTAGGAATCTCCTTTCAATTTTAATAATTTTGGGTTCATAATATATGAATCATAATTAGGAGGTAGAATTTCTTTTACACCTAGGAGTACATCTAAGTAGGTATCACTCTCTTATCTATTTCTGCAAGTAGCTGTGCATACACTGATGTGTGCAATGTGAAGGTTATGTATACCCAGTATAATTTACATGCTGTCAGGTGTTCCAGCTTTACTAATCAGATATATACTCCGACCATAAAGCTTGAAGAACCGACAACCAATGTGTAAAACGAAGTGAAGGACATCGCCCCACTGGATGGAGTGACGAAGTCGATGGATGAAGGTGGCTTAGCACCGTGCTTTGTTGTGGCATTGCTTGGGGAGGCTTTTTTGTTTTATTTTGCTAACCATGTGGTAGCGGTGTAAAAATATCCACATATCGTCTCATGGGTATCATAAAGCTACAAGCACAAACACTCTTAAGGCAACAGAGGGAAACTGAAACCGAAGATGGGCAGCGACATCATCTTCCTAATAAGAACTTACTTAATAATCCATCTAGACAAATAAATAAAATTGAAGTGTCTGTTTGTAATGTCAAAATAACAGCTTTTAACTGAATGCATATGCAAGTATATACGATATTTGTAACAAAAATATTTTTTTAAATTTTTGTTTGTCTGTAATGTGTCTGTCGGTCTGTCTATCTGTCTGTCTGTCTGTTTGTTCCGGCTAATCTCCGAAATGGCTACACCGATTTTGATGATACTCACTGGTAGTTAGCTGATGATATAAGGAGAAACTTAGGCTACTTTTATTTTAGAAAAACAATTAGAGTTCCGCGTGAAAAATCTAAATCTATGAAATCCAACCGCAATAAATTCCACGCGTACGAAGTCGCGGCGAGCAGCTAGTTATAATAGTAAAATACTGCAATTGCCAACCAGCCTGTCAAGCGTGGAAACTATGGCAAAATCCACGTTATGGGGCAATCTATGCGAGACGCCTATGTTCAGCAGTGAACTTTTATAGGCTGTAATGAATGGATGAATGATTCTTGTGTGTTGTGGTTGTGTAGATGGATGAATGACTTCCACATGTATGCCTCGAGCCGACCCATTTGTGCTGCAATCATAATATAACTGCAGCGTGGCTCTACTAGTTTGATACATACAACCGTGGAATATAAGGACTAATAAAGAAGAAGATAAAAATGAAACACTCACCTTTATTCACTATTAGCGAAACATCAATGTTGACACCACGTTCACCGGCGTGTTGCGTCACCATCAGAGAATGCAGGTAGGAGTTGATGATTAAAGGCGCTGTGCTTTCTATCTTCCTTCTACTCCTGTCGACCTCGCACAGCGTCCACTCAGTGCCATTGTTGTCGGTGTAACTGTCTCTAACCTGATTTAATTTATGAATGAAAGAATAGTCGAGATAAGTGAAAGTTTTTAAAATTTGTAATAAAGTAGCCACTAAAACACACTTTCTACTTGATTAATAAGTCTTAGATGTAGACAATGAAGAAGTCCGTTTCTAAAGCCTTATAAACTGCTCTTATTTCTAATCTGCTTATATCTTTTCTTTCTTTTTTTTAACATTACCCCCACACGAGGATCTTCTTCTGTATCGTGGAGGCAGTTTACAAACGTAAATTGCACAAGGACAAACATCCAGACCCGGAATAATTATTTGTAGGCCATACAAATACTTGTTCCGTGCGGGATTCGAATCCGCGGCCCCCAGAGCTGCAACTCATCGCTAAGCCACTGCGCCACGGAGCCGTCATATCTATAACAAGAAAGATGTCCTCTAATATTATTAATCTACGTTAACTAGGTACTAGTTGTATCGTTCGTTCCTTTGATGTATCTCTCAAGTACTAAGTGACATTACAACAATTTCTTTAGTTTTATGTCACTTCTTTTTACTTACTCAACTTTTTGCTCAAGGTCATTCGCTAGGAGTAGCGCCTTAATGAGAACTCATTGTGTATATCAATGAGTTTGACTTTTTTACATATTATAATCCAGTGCTTGAGTACGCTCCCACTTGGTGGTAAGTAGTGAAGCCCTAGTTGTAAAATCACACTGTCTTAGCGTTACCAAAGCCTATTCACTCATGATTTGAAGACACCCAGATTGTAATTGGATGGAAAGACAGACGCCAGCAAAATATTCCACTCCTTTGCTATACGCTTTAAGAAAGATGAAGCAAAATATTTGGTTCGGGTGCTAGAATATCGACAACTAAGAAGTGGTTACTCACCGGCCGTCTGGTTGTTCGATGGTGAAAAGGGGAGGGAGACATTTAATCAAATATAACTCTTGCGCCTACTTTTCGGAATATAGAACACCGAGAGACAGATTTTTCTGCACCTGTGCTTGTGGCTGACAAAATTTGTTTGAACCAAATCTATGTCATCAAAAAGCCTCTAAGCAGGCCTCTCCGCTGAGTCTAATACTAATAGTTCACATTTTGTTGCACCATCCCCCAACACTACATAGAAGAAACGTGTACCGTCAGTACTTTTATTTCTGAGTGTGAGTCCTTTTCCTTATCCGAGTCTTCTCCAGCCGACCCATTCTTGCTGTAACTGTTATAGTTGCAAAAAACACAACTGCTGCTAGGCGAATATCTAACAGGAATTGTAAAGGGCTCATAATGGTGGTAATGATGAAGTAATTGATCGGACTCTGCAACTACAACTAGCGGACTCTATAGCCACGAACGTTTTTGCCTCTGCTAAGACGTATTAATGTGTAAACAGTAAGTAGAGTTAAATAATATTGATGGCATAGTTTTATTCCATTTGACGATGAAGCTTTGACTTTGATTGTTGTTAGCCGTGCACATACACATTGTGTTAGTGTGCGTAGGCCTCACCAGCGCTTAGTCACGAACGCGAGTCGAACGAATCGCAGTTACACACACAAACTCACCTGTCGGTACACGTCACTACTACAATCAAGGTGAAACCTTCATCGTATAAAATAACTATAGTGGATTGTGTAAGTTATTATAGCAAGGTATAATAAAATATAAGTGTACACACATTTTGTAATTACAATTTGCAAATTACTTAACAGTAAAAAAAAATTAAATCTATTTCTATTGCATTGTTTAATAGTGCATTAATTAAAAAAAATACATCTACTGGTTGACCGGGCAGATGTTGTTCTACCATTTCTGTTGGATTGAGCGTTAAGTTTTACTCCGAAATCACTTCGCACTTTTTACAGTGTAAATATAAAACTTATAATTTACTCAATCCCAGCGCCACATATCGGGTTCAAACTTTGTGATTTTATTATTGACAACATATATTTTTTTATAAAATAAGGGTGACAAACGATCACACAGTTTATCTGATTAAACCTACCCCGGTCGGGCCGGTCCATTTATGCTACAACCATAATATATCTGAAGCGTAGCTCTACTACGTATAAAATTATAATGTGGATATGAGACATTTGTGTCCATAAACAAAAAAAAAAGGTAATATCTTGAATAAAACGCAACCTCTCGGATAAAAGAATAGCAATACAAACCATTGACTCGACAAAAATCTTGATATAGTGTGAATATGACTTCAATCGGTCAGTTCGTAAAGATGTTACACAATCACTAACAGATAGGACAAGAAATATAACTTTTAGCCTTACCTCGATCCACCCTTCTCCTTCCCCGCATGGCCATATTGGTGAAGGTGGAGCAACAAGACGGGTTTTTGAAAATGCAGCTGATAGCGTGTAACCATGCGGCGCCATGATCCTGGTTGATATTTTAGCGCGGAGCGGTGGCAGGCCTGGCCAATTGGGAGCCGACAGTCGACCGGAGTGGAGACCTCGGAGTTCCACCACATGGCTTAAATTGAGATAACTTACTGAAAGCAGTAGAGTAATGGTGTAACAATTGAATCGATTAAGACCTATAAAAATAGCCATGTTTGTTCGTAGTTTTTTTTTATAAAACTGAAATGGCAAACAAACTTACAGCCTGATAGTAAATAGCTAATGCAGCCCAAGGATACTTGTAGCCAACAAAGAAAGTTACATATGTGCTGTCATCTCTGAGGACTAAGATATAATGCGTTACAGGCTGTAATTTTAAGTGGCAGAGCATGGCTCATGCAACTATATTAGTAGTATAGTTGTAGCACGCATGGGTCGGCTCGACCGGGGAAGGACCACGCTCTCACAGAATACCAGCGTAAAATAGCAGCTCAACACTGCTGTGTTTCTTATGGTGAGTGTAGAGAACCGGAGATCCTTTTTACTGGAAAGGAGGCATTCCATCTTAGTCCTCACGGGTGAAAACACATCTGCATTATGATTCTTAATCGAGGATAGATGTAAATGTTTATGGGCGACAGTATCCACTTACTATCAGGTGGCCTGTGTGTTCGTTTGTCACCCTTATTCTATAAAAAAGGGAGTTATACAACCTAATAGATGTTTCTATAAACGTTTTTATTGACTGTAGTGATATATTGTTAACGATTAATATACTCGTAAGATATATATCATATAGCTCGCTGAGTGTTGACTTTAAGCTTCCTCACTCTACGTTTCAGAGCCATATGTCATCACTGGCAACACGCACTAGTTGTAATTCTGTGGACTCCTAGCGACCTATGGAGAGCGGTATTCTCAGAGTTTCTCTGCGTGATCGAATACATAATAAAGTTGTCAGAAGTGTAACCAGAGTAATTGACATAGCTCAAAGTATTAGTACGTCAAAGTTTATATATCGAGAGAACCGACAACGGATGACCAAAAGAAAATTCTCGTGTGGAAGTATGTACCGGCAAGGAAAGGCAGTCCTTGCCCCTAGATGCAGGGACGATCTGGTAAGACATCCAGGAAGTCGATGGATGCAAGTGGCAAGAGGCCATGTTTTGAGGCGTTTCTTGTAGAAGGTGCATGTTCAGCAGTGGATATGTGTGGGGTGTGATGAGGATTTCCATATAAAATCATTTGTGGGTATTGGGACACACGATACATTTGCTTATTGCAACTTTCTTAGATCGTAAGTTTTCACAGTTCTTGTCCGCCATATTTATTTTATACTAACGTCTAACGTCATATAGTCCATAATGGTAAATGTAATCAGCACAAGGATGACAACCCGATCAGAAAATTATTATATATTTTGCAAAAATTCGATGTTTAGTTAATTACATGAGAGATTAGTAGTAAAAATACGTAAATTAAAAACAAAAAGCCCGGAGCCGTTTGTTAGTTGCATTGAATTTCGCATGTACGCAAAGATATGTTAAAATTATATCAGAGACTTAATTATTCAATTATTAATTCATTACCCAGCTTCGTAAGCATACATGGCAACCGTAGTTTTTTTTTATTAATTTAAGTTGATGCTCTGACGATGATGATGTCAGTCTTTTCTTTCGTTTCCCTCTGCCGCCTCTTACTATACTCACGTGCTGATATGGGGTAGTCAATTTCATTGTGGATCATTTTAAACAGTGGTAGAGCCACGCGGCACCTTTTGCTGTCGCACGGATGGGCCGGCTCGAACCGGGGTAGTACCACGACCTCACAGAAAACCGGCGTGAAGTAGAGGTTTACCTCTGCGTTTCGCTTGGTGAGTGCAGGTGGCCGGAGGCCCTTTTTACTGGAAATAAGGCATTCCATCTTAGTCCTCACGGGTGACAACGCATTTACATTTTGATTTGTAACAGAGGATAGATGTAGATGTCTATGGGCCGCAGTAACCACTTACCATCAGGTGGACTGTGTGCTCGTTTGTCACCCTTATCCTATAAAAAAAAATCTTATGTCATCAATACATGGCAGTTTTTGGTTTGTAAACTAAGCATTAAAAACTACTCACCTGTCTTAAAATGCGCTAAATAACCTGCACCAGTGACGTTTTCACCAGTTCTCAGCCTCAGCCTCAGGATTTCAGATCGAGAGACGAACATCCCGTTTGTAAGTATCTTTGGATTCACGAAAGGCCTTATCGGAATGCTCTCAGAGTCTACTTGAATTTCTAAAAAAGTGTCCTCGGGGATAGCCTCGGTTACATTTAAGGGAACGCCATTCTCGAACGTTCCATATCCAAAGTCGAAGTAGCTGATATTAAGAAATACTCGTTTTCCTTAAAAGTAGCAAATAACAAGAAATAATTTTAAACAAAATAAGTATCAATGCAAATCAAGTAATATATAACTATGGCCGGTATTTTGAGACAGACTCGAGTTTGAAACTCAAACATTACAAAGTCAAATTTTATGTCTGGACCATAATGTTATGTAACACATCATCATCGCAAATCTATATTTTTTATAGGATCGGGTGACAAACGAGCACACAGTCCACTTGATGGTAAGTGGTTACTGTGACCCATAGACATCTACATCTATCCTCAATAAAGACTCAAGATGCAGATGCGTTGTCACCCGTGAGGACTAAGATGGAATGTCTCTTTGCCAGTAAAAAGGGTCTCCGGTTCTCTACACTCACCATACGAAACACAGCAGCGTTAAGCTGCTATTTTACGCTGGTTTTCTGTGAGAGCGTGGTCCTTCCCCGTTCGAGCCGACCCATTCGTGCTACAACCATAATATAGCTGCAGCATGGCTCTACCACGTAGACAATATGACAATATGACCAGTATGTCCATATCGCAAATCCACTGCTGAACATAGACCTCCCTCAATGCACGGTCCTGAGCTACCTGCATCTATCAAATTCCTGCATCTATTACCAGGTTGTCATTTCATCTAGTAGCGGGACGCACTGCACTTCGCTTACCGGTACGAGGAATACTACACAAATTTGACACTTGACGTTTGAGTTTTTTTTTTACAGAATTAGGTTTACGAGCACACAGTCTACCTAATGGTAGGTTGATGCTGTATCCCATAGATATTTTTGACTACGAATCAAAATGAAAATGCACTGTCATCCCAGAAGATTGAGATGGAATGCCGGGTTACCAGTAAAAAGCATGTTCGATTATTTACTCTGGTATTCTGTTAGAGCGTGATTCGTCCCCGATCGAGCTGGTTCATTCGAACTACAACCATAATATAGCAGGATTCTACCACGCTTAAACTGCAAATAATAGCCCAAATGTGTGTCAGATAAATAGAGATTTAAGTCAGAGAATTTATCTCCATTTCGTGTCAACGGTGTCGTAAGAGACTATTATGAGAAATGCCATAAAGTTCTCATGGCCATTGTTATATGACCATCGTGTTAATACCACATCTGGAACTGCGATCGCGATCCGAACAATGGGAGCAGTGGACTGTTACAAGTTATAGAGGAAGAAGAAGAATCTGACTTTCTCTCTTCAAGCAGCAGTTCATATTCTTCTGCGTTTGAGTCTGAAGAGTGGTAATGAAGAACCACTGTATTAAAGGTTGTGGTGCATTTCACCTTAGTTCTGAGAGGTTTCCATGCATCTGTGGCCTCCATTATGAAAGTTATTTACAGTTGTCCATAATGGCCGCAATAGCCACTTACGATCAGCAGAACTGTAACTGTCTGTATTTTGTCACTAGCAGAATTGTGAGCTCCTTTGTCACTGTTATAAAAAATTACCTACATGAACATCTGTCGATGTGCAAACATTAATGTTATGTCCTTACTTTTCGTTTCAGCTGAAGTTCTAAGTGTAGTATCATGGCATATACTAGTGCATCCCATTTAAGCTAGCTTGGATATAAATATTCTAATTTCTATATCTATTGCATTAATGTTCGTTAAAAATTTTTTTTTAACTAACCTGTAGGAGCCAGTATGTCAATAGTGCAATCGAGGCCAGGTAGTAAAAAATGAGGGTAGTTTGGACTCCGTAGAGTGCCTTCTTTGGATGTAAATGTCTGGGATGGACAACCGACTAATTCCACTGCACGCCACGATAGTGAGAAACCAGAACCTTGAATGCTAAAAGAAAAATAAAGAAAATCAATTATAGTAAGATATTCGAAACATTTAGTTTTATAGGTTCAAGGTTACAAAAATTGTGAAACAATTGCAAAAAGCAGCAATTAAAGTTACCGACTAATACGGTCCACTCTGCCTGAGAAGGTGATGGAGTGGTAAGTTCATCGTGCTGCTTCTAGTGCGTGATCTTACTTTACATGTTCTGAAAATATTTTATTATATCCTCAGATATGCAGGTTTTCTAATGATGTTTCTCTTCGCCACCGAGCATGTGGTAAATTAGCATTTAAAATTTCAATTAACAATTTCATTGGTGCTGGCAGTGATTGAAGCCAGGTTGCTCGAGTAATATGAAATTTACGGTGAGTACGTATGCTATGAGTTCGTGGTTAACCCTGAGCTACCATGGCTTGCTACAGAAATTTTCAAACTAATTTTTAAAATTATGTTTATCGTAGCCTGAACACAGTTATATTATATCAGCAAGCCGATCTATCTCCGCTTGCATCAATGAATTCTTGATTGTAATTTTAAGTGCTAATTCACCAGTTGCTCGGCAGTGAAGGAAAGCCTATATAAGAGAAACATGTTCTTGAATTTTTTTAATTTGTCAGGCATTTTAAATCCGCTGACATATGTTGCAGTCCGGCCGATTTTGCCTTACCCCATAAAAACCTAATTAAAAAGGCTATTGCCAAGCAGGATATACCTTCAGGCTTATTCATTGTCCTTGGCTATACTAATAATTTCTAACTTTACTTTAAGCTTTAACTTTTCTAACTTTAACTTTACTACGTTTCTATTAATTTGTTTTCGTGTGAAAGTCTATTCAGGTCGAATTTAATAATTGATTTTATATGTAAACTAACTTCCCGATGAGCTAGACAATTGATATTTTGAACAGCTCAAAATCGGATGACATTGTAAGAAAAAGAAGTTTTTTTAAAAAATATGGCTTATTAAAAAATACTCCTTCCATTAGTTACTACTTAACGAACTTAGAACTTACCTATAATCAGTGTGGAAATGCAAAGTCGCTTCATTGCTCGTCGCTACCCATCTGGTCTCTCCTACTGAGCCGCAGTATCGTGATGATTTCGTGCTGAATCTATCCTTTAACTTAAAAAAAAAAAAACAATTTTAAGTTTTGTGCTAATAAGATATTTGCTATTAAGATGTCATGCTATTATAATTATACATATAAGTCCCGCCGCATGCATTTGGAGATCTGTCTGTTCAGTTGCGTGTATGCTGTCAAATCTACTGAAGACTGCAGCTTATAGCTTTAAGAAAATGCGGGTATGCGAGCGGCATTTAGTCCATACAAACGTGTTCCTCTCTTTTCTCCGAGGATAACACTATATTTTGTACCATCTAATCGATTTACCTTCACTGCTAGCCGTATGAGGCAGGAAGTCGATGGATGCAGTTGGGTCAGGACCATGCTTTGTGGCATTCCTTGGGTGAGGCCTATGTTCAGCAGTGGACTTGTGAAGGGCTGCAATGATGATGATGTTTTGTTTTTTCCATTAATTAATTATCACAAGAACTAGGAACCATCTAAAATTTGTAAAATTGACCCGTTATACTGCCACTATCCGACATCTAGTAAACAAATTTGACAATATAAAAAAAGGAAAACTTACTGACATAGCTTAAATCCTCCTTATTTAAAAAATTAAAGTTTCAGTTTTTCGATGAGGAAACAATAATAATACGAGATGTTGATTTCGTCTGTTTTACATAGGTAGTCAGAGATGCAGTTGTCTCCCTCGTGCTCTATACTGGGAGATTTGAGGCACACCGCAACACGCTTTGTTAAAAACTTATTTATTTCTATTTTGTCTTAATGTGAACTTTGCATATTGTTTTAAACAATAACGTTATGTTCAGCGATAGCTCGCGAGGTGACTTAAGTGGCTACAATATAATATTAGCGTTCCTGACGTGTAGGTAGCCTTTTACCTATAACCCAGTGTGAACTTTGTTTGTTTACTAAGGTTATTATTTTATTATTAAGGTTTATTTTTTAAGTGCTTGTAGCAAGCAACGAATAAACGAATGTTTGTGGTAATCCCAACGCTTGGCGGGAAATTTTTATATATACTAAGGGTAAGAAACGAACGCATAGTCCACCTGATGGCAAGTAGATGCTGTGACACATAGATATCATCAATCTTCGATTAAGCATCAAAATGCAGAATGAATTGTCACATTTTAGGACTACGATGGAATGCCTCGTTTTCAGTAAAACTGTATTTTTTGTCAAATGCTGCAGATAATTTGTCACGTTAACGACTAAAGCAACATGAATTGAGAGTGTAATATTCGTCAGTCTAAGAGTCCGGTTGAATATGGGCTTCTTTCGTTGTAGGATTTGACCTCCCATTTCTACGTGGTAGATTCTGATGATAGCATATGACTGCAGCATAGATTCCACGAAAGTCCCTCAACCGGAGACCTCTTTGACTGATAAAGAGGTTTTCATCTGAGTATTAATAAAACAGTGCATTTTCGCCCCTTTTTGTTTCCTTATCGAGGATAGATGTAGGTGTCTATAGCTCACAACATTCATCAGCCATTACGTGAACTGACTGTATCGTCGTTTGTTAATGTTATTTCTAAAAAAGGTATAAAACAACCTATCACGATAAGTATACTTCATTCATCTTTTCATTTAATTCTTCATTTATTTATACTTGATTCTTCTTGTTTACGTTCAACACTGAAAGAAATAACGCATTACCTACCTCAACAAAATCATAAAGGCAGTCATTTTGGTACTCGAGGTCGATGGTATGGAAGACAAAGATAAGCCGAGTGTCCGGAGGTCCAGTAACATGAATCCAATAGTCCAAATCGTTGTCATACAAGCCTGGATGATTCGGACTAGATAAATCACCTGAAAATTATATTATTCATTGCTTAGTATAAATTGACACATATTTGTGTTTATCAAAACAAAAGATAAAGTAATAAATAGGAAAAAAACGTAAATTATGAATATTTTTTAATAATATTTTATATTAGCTGACTTTAAAACAGGAGAAGTCTTAAAATTCGACTGCATGTATTTTTTTGTGCGTATGTAACGCAATATCTTCGCCAATTGAAAAAAAAACGTATTTTGATAATTTCTTTGTTTAAGTAGGTTATTTAATTATTATTATTATTACTTCAGGGGTGGTCCCATATAAATTTAGAGAAAAATTCCATCCCTAAGGGTAGTGAAATAGGGATGAAACATAGATTATATTGAGGTTGTGATATTCCTAAGTCCACTCAAATGTTTAAAAAAGCTTTGAAGAAAATGTAAAAGCCAACTTAAATAATTTCACCTTCTGAAGTCGAAGCTTTATATCTTTTCTGCCGAGTTCCAAAAAGGAGACGGTACTCAATTCCACTGTATGTTTTTTTGTTTTTTTTTTTATGTGTATTACCTCATAACTTTTTACTTGATCTTTTATTTGATCAAGGTCAGACCAATAGTTTTGAGCTGTACAACATTTTTAATTTTAAATTATCTACACTATAACTAAGCACTGCTTTAATTTTTTTGGCTTCTAAAGTTACTCCACTAAAAATTTCCCCTGTACGTATTCGAATTTCTGCTACACATCTTAATTATACAGGGTTATTTTGCAACAAACTGCCAAATTTGTAAGTAATATAGGCAAATGATAAAGAAAAAAACATTAAAAAAATCACAAACATTGTCCTTTTTATCATTTAATTTCAAAATAGGTGGTAATGCATTATTTTAACTGATTTTATTGCGCACGCACTTATAAGTGTCGATCGGTAGGCAAAAACGTTGTCCATAAATCACATTCAATTTATCAAAGAAAAGTAGAAGCCTTATTTACTCGTATTTTCAAAAACCGCAATAAGAGTATATCATTATTTATATATTTTACCGCATGTTTAAAATTTGGTAACTCTTTGAAAAATAACCCTGTATAAGCAATGGAGTAGCGAAGTAACCAAGGGGCCCGGGGCAAAATTGAAATAGGGGTATATATACAATACAAATACCTATTTGATACTAAACTAAATACTTTAATGGTGCAACATTATTTCATCATCAGATCCTTGTAGCCCACTGCAGGGCATAAAGCAAAGCTACTTACTACTAAGTATTATATGTAAGGCAGCAGATAATATTAAATCGTTCTTTCTAATAATGATTTAAATGTGAAAATTTATAGCACTGGATGGATTTCGACGAAATTTTGCACACGGATATAGCTCGACCTGTGTAAGATATAGGATACTTTTATCCCGAAAAAAGAATCCCGTGGGACAATTTTCAATGTTGGTCCATACCAGGCGACATGAAGTCGCAGGCAGGAGCTAGTAAAAAATAAAGGACTCTTTGAGCTTGAGGGCCCCGGGGTTACTGCCCGTCTAGCTCTACGGTAGCTACGGAACTGTGTATATGTATATAAGTTTTAAAAGGAAATATATTAATACACAGGTGACGTTTAATGAATATGGATATGTTACGCTTAGGGCCCCACTTTACGAGGAATCCGTATGGCTAATGACGTAGAATAAGTATCAGGGATGATCCTATGCCACTATATCCTCTTCTCTAACTCCCGCGCGCAGAAGGTTTGCGGATAGCGACATGAAATTGGAAGCGTTGCTAGCGGCATAGCAGACAAGTACGGGACGAGGTCGACAAAAGTGGGATGGGCGATCATCGGCAAACGCGTGGATTATGTTTTAGTATTTTCTGAAGTTTTTATTAAAGTTTTTGGCTTTCTAAAAGGGACCTAAACTATATGAAAGCACCTCTAAGCTTCTGCATGGCTTAAGACCATAATGATTAAATGTATAAAAAGGAATTATGCGTACAATACCTGAATTCCCTTCAATTGTTTTATTTCTTATGACATGCTCGGCGTTAAGGCGACGCTTGCACACATAGCCACCGGTGACGCTGCATTTTTGTAGTGTCCAGAACAATCCGCTGGGTTGTGAGGGGACCGGTGATGTTTTCCACTGTTGAAGTATTGGGTATGCAATTTTTTTATACGTGTCGTTTTATTTAAAAGGTATATAAACATCAAATTTTAATTATTTTTGTTTTAAATAGGCGTTAAATAGTTTTTCAATCTTTTAGCAATGTAGCGGCGGTGTAAGAATATCCACTACCCCATATAATCCCGTGGGTGTCGTAAGAAACGACAGAGGAAAACAAATCAAGATCTCTACAGCAGCGACTTGTTAATAACGACTAAAAATAAAAATAAACTGCGTTTGCCAACCCGCTTACCATGCGTGGTACAACTATAGCAAATGATTTTTAAACCATAGAACGATATGGGGTAGTGGATATTCTTACACCGCCACTACACGCTCAACTTAGTGTGCACTTAACTAATTGAGTAACACACATCGTTTTATATTTGATTGATGGAATTGAATCGGTTCGGCGATTTTTTCAGACCGATACGACTTAGGGACCTTCAAGAAAAGAGCTTACACCTTTCTAAAAGGCCGGCAACGTATCTGCAGTTCCCCTGGTGTTGCGGTTGTTCATGGGCGGCGGTAGTCACTTACCATCAGGTGAGCCGCACGCTCGTTTGCCCCCTCTTCTATAAATAAAAAATCAAATAATTTTCATCCATTATATTTGAAATTTGACACAATGTATATTTTCGGTGCATAAATCGACGAATCTATCAAAACGGCTTTTAACACCATCACAAATCTTAGTTTAGTCAATTAATTTCTTGACAATACGCTTATACTTATACTTACATTATACTATATTCAATGATAAATTTAACATATATGGTGCAACGTTTTTTCACTTAATCGTAAAACATTACTATCGAAATGGCAAAACTGTTATTGCAAATATCTACTACTTAACTAATACTACTAAAGCCACTTTCGACAAAAACATATTATAATAAAAAAAAATCAAAACTATAGATTTTTAAGTCTAAGAAAAGATACAACTAATTTTCGTTCGAAGAATGTTTTTTGTAACAATGAACTAGGCGATCCCTAGTTCATTGTTACAAAAAACATTATTTTTTATATATTTTAATATAATGTCTGTTTAAATCAGGTTCTTTACATTATCTGAGAACCGGGGCTTAGGGCAATCTAATATATAATAAATTCCATTCAATAAGAATCAGCCTTGCCTTAATACATTGTAGATTAGTCCGGGTAATTATGTGGCTACATTTGCCAAGAGATTAATCTTATTTCTACCTTTTTCGTTATGCTTAATCCTTCAACCATTACGAATTTGTAATTTTTATTACTTTGTGAATCCCCGGAACAATATTTTAATAAATCTCCCTAAGTATCAGATAAATGTTATCCATCAACTGAATTATAACCTGACTGAATATAAAAGTTAACCATTTAACTATATAGATATTATGTTCCATACAACTGTAATTTTTTAATTCGATTAATAACTTTTAACTGATGATTGAAAGAATCAACCCTTAGAAAAATTAAACGAGTAAGACAATATTTATGTAATGACTTTTGCTTTTACCCACGACTTTATCCACGTAGGATTTAAAAAACCCGCAGATATATTCGTATAATAGTAGTTTAGGAGCAAGTTGTTCAATTAAATAAGAAATACATTAAAAATCACTTTAAACTATTTTTTTTATTATTTCGTTTATTCTATTATTTAAATTATGGGCGACATTGAGAAATGCTTTATTTATATGATAAGGGTAACCAACGAGCACACAGTCCACGTGATGGTAGTTGCTGTGGCCCATTGACATCTACATATACCTTCGACTACGAATCAAAATACAGATGCGTTGTCACCCGTGTGGACTAAGATGGAATGTCTCGGTTTCAGTAAAACGGGTTTCCACACTCACCATACGAAACGCTGATATTCTGTAAGAGCGTGGTCCGTCTTCGGTTGAGCCAACCCATTCGTGCTACAAATACACTTTAATACAGCTTCAGCATGGCTCTACCACTAGTGATGACCTATGGAACTGAGACGTGGTCCTTCACTGCTAGCCGGATGAGGAATCTCAAGGTCGCTCAGCGAGCTATGGAGAGGGCTATGCTCGGAATGATATTTCTCTGCGTGATAAACTTAGAAATGAGGATATTCGCAGTAGAACCAGAGTGACCGACATAGCCCAACGGATTAGTAAACTGAAGTGGTAATGGGCCGGCCATATAGCTCGAAGAACCGACAACCGATGGGGAAAAAAGGTTCTCGAGTGGCGGCCTCGTACCGGCGGATGAAGTATAGGGCGTCCCCATACTAGATGGAGTGACGACCTGGTAAGATATGCAGGAAGTCGATGGATGCAGGTGGCTCAGGACCGTGCTTTGTGGCATTCCTTGAGGGAGGCCTATGTTCAGCAGTGGACTTGTGAAGGACTGTAATGATGACGATGACCGCGTAAAACTTTTTTTTTTATAGAAGAGGGGGCAAACGAGCATGCGGCTCACCTAATGGTAAGTGACTACCGCCGCCCATGAACAACTGCAACACCAGGGGAATTGCAGATGCGTTGCCGGCCTTTTAGAAAGGTGTAAGTTCTTTTCTTGAAGGTTCCTAAGTCGTATCGGTCCGGAAAATTCGCTGGTGATAATTGATTCCACAAGGAAGGTGTGCGAGGGAGAAAACTTCTTCTAAATCGCACAGTGATGGACCGCCAATCATCCAGATGGTATGGATGGTAACGCGAGTTTTGTCGCGAAGTGCGATGGTGAAATTGAGCGGCTGGAATTAGTCCGAACAATTCCTCAGAGCCACGTGCAGTGCTGCATAGATGCGATAAAATACGGAAAGAGATGCAACATCTCTACGCAGTGCCAGTGTATCGAGCCGATCAAAAAGAACTCGGTCGTCGACGATTCGAACCGCTCTGCGCTGGATGCAGTCAAGTGGAAGGAGCTGGCACTGGGGTGCCCCGGCCCAGAGATGGCCGAACTTGCGCTTTGTAAAGTTGCAAGCGATGTGCCGACATGAAATACTGTCTCGCTCTGCTGAGCACGCCAAACTTTTTAGAGGCCAATGTGGCCTCTAAAAAACCACGTGCTTGATATCAAAATTAAAGATATATTAATTTTACGCAAAAAAGGTTTTACCACCGTATCCTATTACATTCAGTTTTGTTGCAAAATGGTGTTAAAGTAGCAATAAAAATAGATTTTGCTCTAGAACATAAAGAAATAGAAGGTAAGTGTAAGGACCTTTTTTGTGTAAAATTGCAAACCAAAAAAGTTTTGTTAGAAACTATTTTATATATATATCAGATTATATAATCATTTTTTTTAATTTTTTTTCTTACGTCGAATAATATAGTTTTTATTTAATTTCATTTCATAGTCATCTCGTTAGCCAGATAGCGCTATTGTTATTTCTTGCTATTTCGCTCGCTTTTACGAGCTGATAATGAAGAAGAAGAATTGCCTTATAAAGGCATATTATATATTAAGGCGGCTTATCATTATAATCATTTCCTTTACTAAATATTATTTGCTGGATATCGGTCTTTCCACGAAAGGTCCAAATAGAATATAATAAGATTCCCTCATTCTCACCACAGTAGATAGGTGGCCACCAGTTTAAGAGATTTGAGTTCGGATATTTTCTACCCACTTCAGAAAGGAGGAGGTACTGAATCAAATCGAGGTATCTAATCGATTTCGATGATTCTTTTTTTATTTGAAAGCTGGTGTTTTTCATGTGGTCCTATGTAAATCAAGGTCTGAAAACTATTGTTTTTGAGTTATCCTTAATAATATATATTGAAGTCGGTGGTACAAAATTTTTCATTTAAAATTTTTCAAGTATCTAATGCTTGCTAAGTGATGCATTCTTGGACACGCTTATGGCCATCTACTAAGCTAAGAGTTTGTTGCTACTGCGTTACTCAAAGAATTCATTAATATATGTACGTACATACATATACCTTAGAATAATGCATTATTAGTCTAGTACATAATATGCATGTGTAATGAAGCTCCCAATTTGATTTTAAACAAAACAACCATTTTTGAAACTTCGAGACGTAATCAATAAGATTATTGAATACGAAAACATAAAATTTATCAACATAAAGTTTGTTTAAGTGATTGAATACTAAGACTTCGACAATATTTTATTAGCTGGGATGTACCAACAAGATACTTTAGAAGTGTCAATTAAACATTGATCAATTCAACGTTGTGTTTCAAGTCTGTTTACAGCGTAACAAAATTTCTTTGTTTTGTGTTTGAATATCAACGTTGGAAAAGGTTTCTTAAAATAGATATTTTTAAACAAAGTATGACAGAATCACTCGAAACATTTTATATTCAGAGAGAAAAATTTGCAATAGTTTAATTGGATTAAAAATCTTCTCACAAACAATTAACAATTAACAATTTATTATTAATAATTTAACATTGACTTCTTACTTAATAATTCAAACATAATTATATGTTAAAATGATGATTCGTTTGTTCCAATACAACTTGTAAATTTTTTATGTAAGTATATGAAATCATACATTTCTGTTAGCGTAAACATTTTACGCAACGTTCACTGGAATACGCCATTAATTGAATTTTCTTTAATGTTTTACCTCAACCGCTTAATGTTAAAGTTTAATATAATATTCAATGATCTACTACAAGATGTATACATATCTTTATTAAGATAGATATTTCTAAACTGTTCTAGTAGTTTCTAGTAATAAGCCTGTATAATTTTATTGCGAATTTAACTTCACCTGTCCCGATGTAAGGATGGCAAATGCTTTAATTTTATTTAAAAATTATTGCGGAGTATTAGTTACCAAAATCTGTATACGAAAATAAATGGGTGTGTATTGAAGTCCAGTGGAAGTACACGCAATTGTGGGATGCAGCTGTTCTTCAAACTAGATAATATTATTAACTTCCGTGAAGTAACGCCTATTTAATTACTTTGTATTATTTTAAAATCTATAAAAAATCGTCAAGAATACCTGAACACCCATACAAGCCTCTTCTGGTTCTTCAGTATCATTATAAGGCGGCCAGGCTTGATAGTCAAAAGCGCTGCCATCCACCCAGCTGAAGTTCTCGCTGATCCTCTCGATCCTCGCGCCGAGCCAGTAAACTGAGCCAGCGCTGTAATCGCTGCTTTGTCTGATGCCGGACACTATAAAACGTTCCTCTTCTGCTGAGTGCACAGACGACAAATGCATGTTGAGACCTTCGCACACCTGGAATTAAAGCAGTAAAAAAAGTGAAGCACACCGCCGAGTTCTGATCTTCAATTCGTGCTGTCTCTGTTAGTGGAAATGTCAATCCCACTTCTAAATTAATAATTTAAAAAACGACCATTTTTAGGGTACCGGGGTTAAACAACAAGGAACCCTATAGTTTCGCCATGTCCGTTCGTCCAATCGTGGCTTAAATCAGAGACCCTAGGTGCTAAATAGTTTTAATTTGGCATAGTTATAGATATTCATCACGTCTACAAAGTTGTGAAATAGGTATACCCTTCTATTCCATCGTGTGAGGTCTCGTTGGATAGGTCTTTCAAAAATATTGAGAAATTAGAATAATGTTTTTTCAATAATTTAGGGGTCCGTTTGCGAAATATTTAGCTTTAAAGTGGTATTTTTTTATTAGAGTAATGTGTTATGTGCCCTAACTGTGTTTAATGTAGGTATAGTAGGTATAGTTCGCGTAATTCTTGGTATAGTTCGACTTACGAAGAATTACGCGAATTTGAATTTAGAATTTGAATCGCAAAATCCTTTTTGTTTTAAATTTTCTAGTATATGTCGGGTATCAATAAAAATAAAATTAATTACACATTAGTAGACAGTATTTGTGTAAATATAGGAATTCAACGGTGGTAGAGCCACGAGGTAGTTTTTGCTGTTGCACGTATGGGCCGGCTCAAGCCGGTTTGGTATCACGACCTCACAGAATACCGGCGTGAAGTAGAAGCTCTGCTTCTGCGTTTCGTCTGGTGAGTGCAGGTGGCCGAAGGCCCAATTCCCCCCCCCATCAATATGGTAGCGGAATTACACCAAAGATTACTCCAGGAGGGTAACACCCCTGGAGATTTCCTCGCTGAGCATCCACGACCAAGTTGTTCCACTCCTAAGCGTGGGTGTTCAGGCTGCCCCGAGTATTGTGGGAGGGGCAAAATCCCGCTCAAAAACATAACTGCTCGGGGCAAACTGAGCAACAATACCAAGGCGACCCCTGCCACGCTATCCGTGAATTTCTGCAACATCAGGGGACTTCACTCGAACCTAAACGCCGTCCCCTACCATCTCGAGACGGCGAAGCCGGCCTTGCCTTTTCTGACCGAGACGCAGGTGTCCTCTCCGGCTGATACTTCGTATCACTACTACCCGGGGTACAAATTGGAGCAATCCTTTGTGCCTCGGGCTGGAGTTTGCGTGTATGTCAGAGAGGACATCTGTTATCGACGCCTCGGCAGTCTTGAAGTTTCTCAGGCCTGTCCATCCTTTGGCTACGCGTAGACGTAGTCTACGGGTACCTCTATACGTCCAATAGCGGTAATGCCGCAACAGACCGACTCATCGACCACGTCCAAATGGCTACAGATTTCTTGCTACAACAGGTCCCATCCGCATAGATCGTGATCCTTGGCGATTTTAACGCTCACCACGCTGAATGGCTCGGTTCACGTTTCACCGATCATGCGGGGAGATCTGTTTATGACTTTGCCTTGGCATATGGTCTGACACAACTGGTTACTTCGCCTACGCGGATTCCAGATGTGGATGATCATACACCTTCCCTGTTGGACCTTCTGCTGACCTCTAATCCGAATGGATATCAAGTTTCCGTCGATGCCCCTCACGGCTCTTCGGACCATTGTCTGATCCAGAGTGTGGTGCCACTCACGCTCTCCTCGCGGTTGCGTTCTGCAGGTTACCGCTGTGTTTGCATTACAGGTCGGCAGACCGGGGCGGAATGCGGTCTTTCTTTGCATCCTACCCATGGGGCGGTTTTGCTTCTCGCCAGATGATCCCAGCGCTATTGCTGACTCTGTCACTGATGTGATGCTACATAGAATGGAACTATTTATTCCATCATCTGTGGTACCCATCGGAGGCAGATCTCAGGCTTGGTTTGGTCGCTCCTGTAAGACTGCATTACGCAGTAAGCAGGAGTGTTATCAAGCCTGGGCTGCGGCTTCGGCGACTCGGGATGTAAACACCAGCACACTTAAAAAGAAGTATAACTTCGCCTCCAGGTCCTTCAAAAGAGTTATTGTCAAAGCAAAGTCAGAGCACATAGGCAGAATTGGCGAGAAACTAGTTCGACTTCCTTCGGGAACCCGTGCATTCTGGTCTCTCACCAAAGCTGTCCAAGGGAGTTTCTGTAAGCCATCACTACCATCTCTGCACAGGGAGGACGACTCACTGGCCCAAGCCGCAAAAGACAAAGCAGACTTTTTAGGCTCCCTTTTTGCGTCCAACTCGACTGTTGATGACGGGGGGAACACACCGCCGACCATCCCGCGGTGTGAGTGCTCCATGCCGGATGTGCGGTTCTCCCAGCGCTCGGTTCGCAGAGCACTCCTCTCCCTTGACATCCACAAGTCGAGTGGGCCTGACGGAATCCCCCCAATTGTGCTGAGGACGTGTGCTCCTGAGTTGGCACCGGTTCTAACGCGTCTTTTTCGGTACTCCTACTCCCTAGGCGTAGTCTCGAAATCATGGAAGACAGCTTTTGTCCACCCGATCCCTAAAAAAGGCGACCGCTCAGACCCGTCCAACTACAGGCCTATCGCCATCACCCCCTTGTTCTCCAAAATAATGGAATCCGTTGTAAACTGCCACCTCATGCGGTACGTTGAGGATCACCAGCTGATTAGTGACCGCCAGTACGGTTTTCGTCGGGGTCGATCAGCTGGTGATCTTCTGGTCTACTTAACTCATAGATGGGCGTTGGCAGTAGAGTCCAAGGGGGAGGCATTGGCCGTTAGTTTGGACATTGCGAAGGCCTTCGATCGGGTTTGGCACAAAGCGCTTCTTTCGAAGCTCCCTTCCTATGGGCTTCCCGAGAAATTGTGCAATTGGATCACCAGCTTCCTTGCAGATCGGAGCATCAATGTCGTTGTAGACGGTGCATGCTCCGACTACAAGCCTATTAACGCCGGTGTTCCACAAGGATGTGTGCTATCATCAATGCTGTTTCTTCTGCATATCAATGATATGTTGCTAACTGGTAACATTCATTGCTATGCGGATGACAGCACTGATGATGCTCTATACACCGGCCGTGCCAACATTTCTCGGGAAAACGTCGCCGAGTACCGGAACAAACTTGTGTCTGAAGTCGAGTCTTTGCTGAACAAAGTCTCGGATTGGGGGCGACTGAATCTAGTCCAGTTTAATCTTCAGAAGACAAGTTTGCGCGTTTACCGCTAAAAAGAACCCCTTTGTCATATCTCCTCAGTTTAAAAAGCACTCCCCTTCTTGCCTTAGCCAGTATCGGAATCCTTGGAGTCGACATATCGAGTGACGTGCAGTTTCGTGGGCACTTGGAAGAGAAGGCCAAATTGGCCTCTAAAAAGCTTGGCCTGCTCAGCAGAGCGGGACAGTATTTCATGCCGGCACACCGCCTGCAACTTTACAAGGCGCAGGTTCGGCCTCACATGGAATACTGTTCCTATCTCTGGGCAGGGGCTCTCCAGTGCCAGCTCCTTCCACTTGACCACATCCAGCGCAGAGCGGCTCGAATCGTCGACGACCGAGTCCTTTCCGATCGGCTCGATTCATTGGCACTGCGAAGAGATGTTGCATCCCTTTGCATTTTCTTTCGCATTTACCACGAGGAGTGCTCTGAGGAATTGTTCGGATTAGTCCCAGCCGCCAAATTTAACAAACGCACATCGCGGCAGAACTCCCGATACCATCCACACCATCTGGATGATTGGCGGTCCACCACTGTGCGATTTAGAAGATGTTTTCGTCCTCGCACGACTTCCTTGTGGAATCGATTACCATCAGCGATTTTTCCGGACCGATACGACTTAGGGACCTTCAATAAAAGAGCGTACTCCTTTTTAAAAGGCCGGCAACGCACGTGCAATTCCCTCCCTGGTGTTGCAGTTGTTCATGGGCGGCGGTAGTCACTTACCATCAGGTGAGCCGCATGCTCGTTTGCCCCTCTTCTATAAAAAAAAAATTAATTGTATAAAATTTAATAATATCTCATAGTTCGTTAGTTCTCAAAAACGAAATTTTTTTCCAATTTCGGTGGGATTAAAGCATTTAGATTTCTTTGACGTCATTCAAGGATTCTTATACTTAGGTCTTATCTTGAACGCGAGCCATCGCACAATGGCGGAATTAGCTTTGTTACAGCGGTATAAATAAGGTCAAGGGTGAGTTTATCAAAGGCGGGACATTTCATGTGGCTTTTATTGAAGTTGGAATTTAGAATGGAATAAAATAATTTTGTTCAATATAGAATTTAAAGTTTATTTATTTACATAAATAATAATATAGAATACTTATGACAATTGAATTAACACAAATACTAATTTTCCTACAACGCCGAGCAAGTAGCAAAATAGTACTGACACTTAAAATTGTAATTGGTGCTGGTGATGAATCGAACATGAGTAAATTATTTTCTGACCCAACTGTTTTTAGGCAAGAAAACAAAGCCAGTGTTCTTAGCACTACACCGTGAGGAGTAGGAGTAGGATGTTTATATATGGTAAAGCCCCGCTGGTTGCAGCACGAATGGGTCTGCTCGACCGGGGAACGACCACGCTCTCACAGAATACTAGCCTAAAACAGCTGCTTAATGCTGCTGTGTTTCGTAGAGTGAGTGTAGAGAACCGGAGACCATTTTAACTGGAAACAAGGCATTCCATCTTAGTCCTTAGTGACAACGCATCTTATTCTTAATCGAGGATAAATGTAGATCTCTATGGACCACAATATTTTCTTACCATCAGGTGGACTGTGTGCTCGTTTGTCACTATTCGTCGTCGACGGCGCAAAGGGGCGAACCTCAATTTTTCAAGAAATTACAGGAGAGTAAGAAAACATTTATTATGCCCCGATTACTAGCTTTCTTTCATCAGAGAATTAAATATATTAGACTTAAGGGAAAACTAAAAATAAGATTAATTTTCTGATGAAAAGAAGCTAGTAATCGGGGAATAATAAATGTTTTCTTGCTCTCCTGTAATTTA